GTCGTTGATTAGGTACAGTAAAACCTCATTAAGACGCTCTCGCTTAATACGCCATCCCGCTTAATATGTGGATTTTTCCCGGTCCCAGGTACTTGTACACTTTTAACATTGAAAAAAACCCGCTTAATAAGCCACCGCATAATACGTAATCCCGCATAATACGCTTTAATTTCTGGCTTCTCAAACATTTTAAAATTGAAAAAAACCCGATTAATACATTCAGCGATAAGAATTTTATTAAAACGTTTATCTGTTATCGATAGAGAAATTGATATTTATTATTAACATTAAAGTTTTAAAACAAAAATACCGTAAGAAATTAGTTCAACGGTATTTACGAGAAATGGAATCATTTACTACGTTTATATGATAGCGTTAAAACGGTTTGAAACTAAACCGTTTTAATATTATTTAAAACGGTTAAAGCTTAAACAGTTTTTAGGTGTTTATATACGAACAAATATAAATCGGTTTTATAAATATTTTATAAACCCTTTTAAATTTAATATTTTTACTCCATGACTTTATTCGTTTGTTCCAAGAGAATACTTGATAATTGATTTGATTTGATTCAAATTTTCTTATTAGATAATAATATGGTTTATTCATTTTGTTATAAAATACAAATTTACAATAGTTATAAATTATGACAAAATATAAATTAATTGTTTCAATTCTTGCTGAATTAAAACGCAGAAGATTGACAGCTGAAGTGCGAAGAAAAAAAGTGTTTAAAATGATATCATAACTACTAAAAGAAAGTTATTAAAACATAAAATGTTGTTAATATTTGCTACTATTTGTTCAACAGTTTTATTGTATCCTAAAGCTGTCATTTCTAATTGAACAGCTCCCGAAATCTACATGACAAAAATATATTTACAAACATACTGAAGTTGAGACTTAAAGATAACAAATATTTATTACTTCTCCATTTCTATATCTTTTTCCATCCAAAGCAGACATTATATTTTTTTCTTTGAAAATTGCTATTAAATCTTTCACTTCTTTATCTGACCAAGAAATTCTCTTTCGTTTTTTCGGTGTCGGAGATGCCATTTTTCATGCACTGTTATTAATCAACTTATCTAATAGCTAATAGGTAATTACTAAAAACGAATTAATTACACGGTAGGTATTGAATTTTTTTTACTTTAGTTAACTACATTAACTACAAAGTAGTTAACTTCCGTTTCCCGTACCGTATTAAATATTAAAAATATATTAATATATATAAAACAAAATCTGATAACACAAGTGATAACACAATGAATGCAAAACATATCCCGCGTTTATATGTACATTTGATAAACCGATTTAAGCACATAAAACGGTTTTAAATTCTTAAACTACATAGTGCGAGCGTTTTAACTTTTAAAACGGTTTACAGTTTTCAAACCGTTTTTAAGTGTTTACATGACATTAAAGCGTTTTAATTTCAAAACGGTTTAGTTTCAAACCGTTTTAACGCCATCATATAAACGTAGTATATAACCGATGAAGAAATCCCCAAAATCAATGTTTTAGATGCTATTCATTATGTTTCAATCGCGTGGGATGAGATAAAACCAGAAGTAATTAAAAACTGTTTCAACAAAGTCTACTTTGGTAACGTCTCACAAGAAGATCCCCACATTTTGAACTCAGACGAATTTTGGGACTTTGAAGAAGCTTATCCAGGCTACACATCCATTGACGACCAATTGATAACGAACGAGGCCCTAGAACTTGAAGAAATTATCAATCAGGCTACAGTTAACGATGAACCAGATGAGCCTAATGAAGATGAGGAAGAATACTTTACACCACTTCCGTCAATCGCTAGTACTGTACAATCAATATCTACATTGAGACAGGCACTCTCTGCAACTGATGGCTCTGAAAACATGCTTCTATATCTAGGTAGGATGGAAAATTTCTTATTGAATAATTATAGAAATAATGTACTAAAACAACCAACCATTACCACTTTTTTTGATCCAAAAAATAATAATTAAAAAATATGTTCCTAATAATAATTTTTTTGTATGTATATTTGATGTTTTTTTTTTATTAATTTTAAATATGTACAACTTATGTTACTGAGTAATACATAAAAAATCACATTATAAAAACTTTTCTTATTTATTTTATCTATTATTACATTTAAACCACTTTTAATAGGCGGGATATCGCCTATAACGCTATCCCGCATAATGCGCGGTTTTACGATTTCCCCTTCGAGAGCGTCTTAACGAGGTTTTACTGTACTTGCTTTCCAAGCCGTACTTATATATCTCCGCGCCCACTGAGAAAATACAATACATTGTAGGTTTGACACTTTCGCTAAATTCTATCATCTTGTACGTAAAAGTGAACAGCGCGGCAGCCCAAAAGAGCGCTTATAATTTTTATGGAACGTCCGGTAACTTTTATTATCGCGAAAAAAACGATTATATTTCACTATTATATAATGCGTCTTAATTCAAATGATTAACATGCAGTGCACATATACATTCAATGATCTACAATATATAAATAAATCTATAACTAAATTGAACCTAAATATAAAATGCAATATGTTTTAATATTTTTATGTTATATAGACGGGCACAGAATTTTTATTCAAGGTAAAAAGAGTGAATAATACAATATTATACACATTATACTTCGCCAACGACGCTTACAAACTTTTTGAATTAATTTTTCAAAAAAATAGAAGGGGAACGATTATAATAATTAGAGCATAATATTTTTACTGCTTGTGTTTACAGCAGTGGTGGTTTTATTAGGGGAATAGTTGGACCCCCTTTCAGTCATGTAAATATTTGTAACCAGTATAAAACTGTATTGACAGTTTACTAAAAATCGTTTTGGCGATCATTTTAGATCAAAAGAACGATTTTAAACCAAATAAGACGAGTTTGATCAATTTATATACATCTAAAAATGACTAAAAAACCTTTAAAAGCTTTTCTAACTTTTGCGAATAAACGATATAATAAAAATATTTAATCGACGTTTACAAAAAAAAAAAAAAAATAAGTAAACATGAAAATTTAAATTTACTATAAATAGACCAAAAAATCTTTTAGAAATTATATCATTCAAAGCGATATAAGCATTAAGTGAACATTTCAAGTTTCTATAGCTATGATTTTTTGAGTACAGTGAAAACAAAAATTCGATTTTGTTGAAAACAAATATGCAATCAATTTTGACGTTCCTTTATAACTTTTCGTCAGCCTTTCGTAATTACTAAAATAATTGTTGAGAAATGAATAAAATGGTAAAATGAGTAAAAATAATTACCAGACAATAATTTTACTAGAAACTTCTTATAATTGTGATGTTCAGAAAATTAATTTAAATATAAATTTTATTTAATTATAAATGACACTGGTCTAAATCGAGAATGGGGATACAAAAATAAACAGCCTATATACAAATAAAAGACGGTAGAGGTTTGAATCTCGAATTCAGTTGAAGTTTTTTACAATTTTTTTAAAAATAAATAATTTAATTAACATTAATAAAATAATTAAAATAATTATTTTATGATAAAATATATAAATACGAACATATCTTATTTTAAATTTAAAAATTATTTCAACAACTCATGTTTTTTGAAATTAAGATAAATATATAATCAATATACATAAAATCAAAGTAAAATAATCTACAAATAAATACTTATATGATAAAATACTATGCAAATCACATATATTTATTTCCAAGACCATTGAGGTTTCAAGACTATACTAAGGCTTGGTTATTTAAATACTAATAATTAATAAAGTTAATAAAGAAAATACAGTCAATGCAAATACCATAATAATTGTCAACACAGATTATTATTTAAGAAATTGAGATTGGATATATTACTTAAATTTATTTATACGTAGCTTATACATTTATCCACTTAATAATCATATAGGTAGAGTTATATTTATTAAGATATACTACTATTTAAGAAAGAGAAGCAACTTTTGTTTAGAAGACAAAAGACATAGCATACTATTCAATAGTTATATTTTTACATCTTTGCTCATTACTTTTTTAATTTATTGATATTCATCAACTCTTTTTTTCGCACGATACCAATTTTACAATAGTAAACAAGGCGAGCCTTAACCAGTGGGTGGACCTCGCCCAATAAAAAAATATTAAGATTGAAAAAAATAAAAATATATTAACCTTGGGTGTAGAAGAATACACCTATATTACCACCTATAGAGATTTTAAAATATTCTAGAACCAATTATTAACAAAACTAATCGTTTATGTAAGTACTTTTTCTCATGGTATTTGTAATTTGCGATAAAAATAATGAATAAAAATAGCTAATATATTAATACAATCAATTACATTTTTAGTTATAACACAAAGATAATTTATCTGAATGCATAAAAATTCTAGAATAACATTGATTTAAATTTTAAACATAATATTATAATATTAAGGAATATTATGTTCTATAATCTGAAAGTAAAAATACGCAATTTTGATAAAAAAAAATTATTCAAAAACCAAAAATATTTTTTACTATATTTTATGAAAACTAATGGTCTTCGACATAAATTATTTCATTTCTTAACCATTACAAGAAAGGTTATTATGATTTATGATATATTTGTAAACATGGGTAATATTCTAAAGTATCTTCTTCTTTCGACTTTAAATGTTTCAAACCAATAAAATAATCTAATTCCACATATACAATATGCGATTCTTAATAAATTACCAACATCCTTATGATTACCCATAACTATTACCCATACATTTTTTTTATTTATTTCGCCATACAAAATAAATAAAAAACCCATAAGAAGATTGAACAAGAAAAATTTGTACAAATTAAATCATGTCACAAACTAGAAAAACTTTCTAATAGTATACCAATACCTATAGCAGCATTTAGTTAATTAAAAACACATAAAGAAGGTATTTATATTTTAACCTAACCTATTTAATAAATTGATTATTCCTAAAACTATTTAAAATAAATATTTATTTTTTACCTGCAGTGTTTCATTTAAATTATCATTCTCAGAAGTCCAATCTCCCTTACTACCATTTGTCACGTGTATCTTTGTGGGTATTGGAGGTTTTGCGGCACTATTTTTGGATAGCGTTGCAGGATCAAATTGAACAGTTGGACTAGATAATTCTCTAAAAACATAATTTACATTTTTAATAATTTTTGAGTTTTTAACTTATAACTTCTATATCCCAAACCTATTTTCATCTTGGAGCTTAGATTCTGTGCTACGAAGTTGCTGTATAAGTTCAAGACGTTCTATTTCTTGTTCTTGTAATGCGTCATGATATCTTTGTTTTTGGCGTTGATACTCTTTAAGTAAATCACACTGACTATTTTGCATATCAAAACTAGTGCTAGACTGGTTAATAGATAGAGATTGATATCGATCAGTCAACGAATCTCTCCTAGACGATCTGGTTGTATTCGACGTCGTTGTGGAATTTGAAGATCTTCCAGGTTCTGGAGACGACAATTCCGAAAAAAATTTTGTATTTTCTTTAACTGGAGTCAAAACTTCAGTTATGGACGGTAATTCACCGTTTATGCTATTAACAAAAACTTCACTTTCAAATAGTTTATCCACTGAACTAGTCATGGGTGTGTTACTCTTCAATCCTGTTAAATGAAAACTAGCAAAAGACGATTTTACCAGATTTGACGGTGTATTAAGTGTACCTATAGATGATATAAGAGACGAAGATGAAGTGGTTTGATCGAGATTCGGTAGTAAGGAACGGGACATAATATCCGCAGCAGATCGTGGTCTTGTAAATGGCATTGCAGAATGAGGGAATTGTTTTGGTTTAATAGGTGTGACAAGCATGTGTTCGGTCCAAGATGTTTCTAAAGACGGTCTCTCTAATTGTTCAAGTTCAACATTTAAAGTTTTTTGTTCGAAAGGTACAATAAACGTTTCCGCTGGAATGCTTTGAAGCCATGACATTAAACTAAGATCTGTATCTTTATATCCTTCCGAACCATTGAATATATGTGAAAAATTCAAAATATTTGGTCCAAAAGGTTGTTTGCTTCCAACTGCTTTTGATTTACAAAAATTACAACATGATTCATAAAGCATCCCTTTAATAATTAATTGAATAAGTCTATCGTTTATCGCATCTGGCATAACAGGTTTTTTGTCGCATGGTAAAAATTTCATTACAAGAGGATAAACTTGTTTAAAACATTGTACTCGTGCTGTACTAGGATTCCAATCTTTATACCCTAAATTGTCAGATAATCTTGGTAGTGTCAGCATTAAACATAAATTAGAATATTCTTCCTTAGTAGGACATACTTTTTCTAACTCGTTAAGAACTTTAACTACTTCTTCAACCGCAGTATCTACACTTCCAACTACAGAAGCTTCTGATTTCATACATATTAGCTCAGCATATTTATGTCTCAGGATACAATACCTGAATTTATTGGTAGGGAAGGTTGGTATCGCTTCCAGTGGTTGAATGAACTCAAGAACGTCATCCCATTGACCATCCAAAATAAGTTGACGAAGAAACAAAGCATCGTCTGAATAACTTCCATTTATAACACCAGTTTCACGTTCTACACTTAATTGAGAAATATGAAGTTCACGATTGTGCAAAAACTCCAAAGTTAATCGAATAATATCTTCTTCCCGCACAGAAATCTTTGCTGTTGGCATCACGTAACATATACGCAATCTAAAAAGAATATAACATCTTTATTTAGAAACAAAATTAAAATTTAATTCACCAAAAGTGAACAGGTTAAGGTAAAGAAACAAACAACACTGCCAGACATTTGTACAAAAATAGTAAAGGAGTGCCCTCACGACACTCCTTTCCTGTTAGTTTATTTTAGTACATCAACAAATGTACCCTTACTATAATTGACATGCGTTATGGTAATATTAAGATGCATATGATTAAAATGTACAATATTAATAATTAACATATTAAAACTTCGGATTTAAAAAACTTTCAATTTTACACACCTAAATGACTAAATTTTATTATATTTTTTAATCGAATTGAAAATAATTTTATACGTCAAAAGAAAATAATTTAAATTCGATATTAGCTACATGAACTGAAAACATAAAACGGTTACGATAAACTAAATAAAGTTTTCTAAAAATAAACTATATATACAAAAAGGAAACAAACGAACACTGCGCAAGTTTGTTTTTGTAGATTCTGTAATACATAGTCTTTAGACATTGAAAAATATAGAGTCGAGTTGTACTATGAAACTTCTTTTATTGTAGCGTAATTCAAAATGACATACAATGTTTCTCTGCGAAATAATGGATTAGTACTCACAATCTGTACTTATACATAGGTTATTCAATATAGGGAAGTTGTAGGTGAATAAAACAAAAAGCTTTTAAACGAATTGAAATGTCCAAACGCCCTTATATAATACATGTTAATATCAATAATTACATAGTTTTGGGAAATATAACATAATAGCAATTGTAATATAAGTAAGCATTTCGATTTACAAACCTTGAAATAAATTTTCCATGAACACTTTTTGACACACGATTAGAACAATTTATACTTGGTAACACCATTATAAATAAATTTGGAAAATTACATTTTTTTAAAAAAATACAAAAAACTAATATTATGTGTTCAGTCGTTGTCAGAAATCGAACTGAACTTATTTCTTTAAATGTCTAGTTTAAAACCTTCCTGTTTTATTTGTTAGGTACTAATTTATAAACAACTTATGTACAGGATGTACTATATAATGTACACATATGTAAGCGGAATTATTGTTTTAAAATCAATTAATACACAAAAAAAACTCGAGTGATAAATTATAACGATATTTCTTGCAAATATTTTATATTAAATTTTTTTTTTTGAATATGTTAATATAAATAAAATTTGACATTAAACCATACTTTCAGGAATAGTTTCAATTTTCACTAACAATTTTAAATATAGATATTATTATATTTTACTACACTAACTTAATTAATATCTATGATTTACTTTAATAACACTTAACATAAAAATACAAAATAAAATAGTCAAACTTCAAATATCAAGTAATAAATCATTGAATCACCCTATATATATATCTTCAACAGTAATAACTAATAACTAATAATTATATACATTTTTTAATATAACACCAGAAAAATGTAGGTAAACTGCATTATAACCTACTTATTACATTTCACTTATAATCACACACTATTATACATTAAGATATATACTATATAATTAAAAATACTGGTTTATAGTGAGTAAATAAATTATAACATAGACAAAATATTAAACTCATTATGAACACAGTGGTACCTAACTTATATTTGGAATAACCAGGGTTACAAGTAAGTTGGCTAGAATCAAAAGTCACATGTTTCAGAAATGAGTTTTTTAGAACTTGAAACTTTTAACTTAAAAAAAATTATTTAAATTACGAAAATCATATTTTTTTATGAAAGATTTATGTTTCTCAATATAAATTATACAATAATAATATATTTTAGTTTTATTTAATATTATGGTAACTTTACTCGTCCACTCATTGTTGTTTCCTGAAAAAAGTGATTTTTGGAAGATGGACATTTTGATTCTAGCCTACTCAAGTATGATCAAATATGTAATCTAGTTTTAAAGTAATGAAAATAAATAAATATTTTAACACAAATTTTACAATTTATTTATTTTCATTTTCTTTCAGAAAATACTTCTAAATATACTTCTTAAAAAAAAATCTTGTTCAAACATTTTATGATGGTTAACAATTGTGTATTGAAATAGTATTTTGAATAGTTAATTTGTTTCAAAATTTTTTAATTATATTAAACCATTATATTATTAAATAATACACCAGGATGGCCAAATTACGCTTTACGTCTTATTAACAAAACTAAAATTTACTTACTATTATTATGAATTTTTTTTTTAGCATACATTATTAAAAAAATATATATTTTATTATATAGAATGTAGATAAATAAAAAAAAATATTTCTTAGATCAAATTATAAAAATTATAAAATATATTTATAAATATTTTGGCTTTTGATATCATTGTAATTATGCATGTGGCTCATGAAAATATTCATGTTGGCCACTCCTATATTAAACAGTACCTTGGTTGCAAAATAACTGAATTGCTAAGATTGTACTATACAAAGTATATAAAAAAAAATCACCAAACTATAATATAATGCTTTAAAAATAATATTATTATAATAATATTATTATTATCTTTACTTTTTATTTTTTAAAACAAATATATTTCACTAAAAAATGTATTTTTATTTAATTTACATTTTAATAATATATTTTGTATTGTTATTTTATAGAAGAAATCACTGTAAAACATATATATATTTATTATATCTCTATTCTAGAAAACTATTTCCATGACTAATTTCAATATATATAATAAACACTAAACTAATATTACAAATTTAAATTGTTTACTAAACACAAAATATAAGTATATTATATACAATATCATATAATATCAAATTTAAGGTATATTTTGATTTAAAAGTGAATATATCTTTAAAAAAAAATTGAATTATTTTAAATAAATATTTGAATTAAGCATTACTCCAATTATAAAAATTATATAACAAATCCACGAGATATTGATAAAATAATGCAATTAGTCATTAAATTAAAAACTTCAAAAATTATAACTTAAAATGTATTAATTTGTTAAGTACCTTAATACATGTTAATTTTAAAATTCAAAATCTGATATTTATAAAATAACTATTTAGCACCCATTAGTGTCATTCATTATTTTTTTGAATTGAAGCATACATTAAATATTAACATATACAATAACAATTGTAATGGTTTTTACTACAATTTTTAAAATACATTAATAAGATATAAAATAATGCAAATATGTACATTTAGGTATATTATAAAATATACATTTTCTATAGTATTATAGGTAGGTAAGGTTAAATAAAACCATATAAAATAATAAAGGTACTTGTGTTTTATTCAATAAAATTAATCAGTTGTTAACATTGTTCTTGTACGCCGTTTTAAATACAATGATAATTATTTTTTTCAGATGCTATCGATAGTAATAATTTTCCAAAATATTAGTAACCTACACACCACCGATTCACCATAACAGCCATAGGTTTGGCGGGAAACAGATTAACAACATAAGTTTATAAGACAACACACGGTACAACGCAAAGAAAAACGATCCGATAACGTAATTATTATTATTAATCACATGCACGTTTCCACAAGAATATTATACAAACTACTATGAATGAACGAGAAACACATACCGTTCGTACGATAGATTTCAGACGAGCACAATCTATAGGTAATATGAGTATGTGTTGTGTGTGTCTGGTAAATGCCAGAGGTCAACAAACTGTCATCATCATCGTAATAATTATTATTTTAGTGTCGTCGTCGTCGTTGGTCAAGGCGGCGGTACAAGAACGTACGATCGAGATGAAACAGCGGACGCGATAATCGATCCCCGTAGGAAAACGTCTGTTGCCGTGTAGTCGTCGTCGCCGCGTCCGGTCGATTCGAAATCGTTAATCGTTATTTGTGATCCGCCGTCGGAACGCCTATACCGTACGCAACATTTGAATATTGTGATATATATAATCTATGTTGGATACAAAACCGAACGTCAACAAAACACTCGGACCACAGGTTATCACGCGTTTCAAGTCCGGATGTGATAAGAGAGCCATAGATAGAACATTGCTTGCCGTCCGAGACGCATCGGTGCGCTTACTCCGTCACAGGACACAACTGCGATTCGACTTCGTTGCTCCCGACAGAAATGCACTCTAGAACATAGTACGAATTTTTTTTTCTCTACTTGCCTTCTGTCCGAGACTTGTTCAGTCCCGTCATTCGTCTGTATTAACATTATTCTTTTATTCGATATCATCGCGGATTGCAGTCGCTGTGTCCACAGTTGGTCATCGCCGTTGGTTTTACTCAAATAATATCTCGAGAATACGCTCGTCGAACGTCGTCGTCCTCCGTCCTGGATAGGTTTCGACGATGGCTGATGGTAGAACCAAACCCTTGAGAGTTGGACGGCGCGTGTGCGTTGGCACTTATTTTGGGGTCGTTCGGTACGTAGGCCCTTTACCAAACACAGAATCTGAGTGGGTTGGAATCGAGTGGGACGATTCGTCCAGAGGTAAACACGATGGTGTTCATAACGGCATCAGATACTTTAAAGCCCTGTGAGTATTTTGTGTTTTAATGGTGATTTTAAAATTTAAGTCTACTAAATCATTGGTTTGGTTTTAGACATCTTAACGGAGCATCATTCGTGCGGATGGAAAAAGTTGTACCTTGTAATGTTAGTTTCATCAGTGCATTTAAAAATAAATATGGTCAAGATTGTGACCCCGGAATCAATCAAGAAATATCGGCATTAATGAAACAATCTAAGATTCCATTTTTTGAATTAGTTGGAATGCAAAAAATCAAAACGAAACAAGCGTTAGTCATAAACTTTTCGTTTAATTACTAAGTATTACTCCTATGAATTCTAATGTTATTTAGATGTTTTGAAAAGTTAACTCATGTAAGCCTTAGTCATCAGTGTATTACGGATGCTGGACTTCCAGAAGAAATTCAAAATTGTTGCCCAAATATTATTGATTTAGAACTTTGTAATAATTGTTTCGAAGATTGGGATACTATATCTCAAATTGCTCAACAATTAAAATATTTAACTAGTTTAAACTTAAGGTAAATGGTTTTAAGCTATATATTTTATTGATAACATCACTTGATGTTTATATTTATACATTTTAGCTTTAATACTATAGAGTTACCTCATGAACAAAATAAATTGTTGAAAGAATCTTTTAAATGCTTGAAGAAAATTATTTTAGGTAAGCTTAATTATAGCTGGTATGAAGTTATGACTTTATGTGAAGCATTTCCACAACTCGAAGTATTAGAGGTATTTTAATGCAGAAACCACTAATATAAAATATTTATAATTATATGAATAATTTTAATTTTAGATTCCAGAAAATAATATATCTCGACTTGAAACACCTTTAATAGTACTAGATAATCTCTTGTACTTAAACTTAGAAAATAACAATTTGTCATGGACTGAAGTTAACAAACTACGTTTTCTATCAAAGTAAAACAAATATTAATAATTTATTCTTAAAACTGTATTATATTTCTTAAATACCAAAAATGTATTAGATTAGAATCTTTAAACGTCAATCGCAATGGAATAAAAGATATTTTTATTGTACCATCATCATTTCTATCTCTTAAATATCTGATGATCAGTGATAATAACTTATTGCAAGTAAGCTACTTTCTTATCTATAAATATTTGTAATACAATTTTTGTTTTTAGTTTAAATCAGTGTGTGAACTTAATAAACTACCAACATTAAATTCATTAAGAATTCAAAATAACCCTTTACTCAAGGGAATGAGTGTAACCAATTACACTTTACAAATAGTAGCAAGAATTTCAAGCTTAACGGTAAAGCAAATTTATATTTTATTTAAATAATTTTATAATTATAAATTACTGTTTAATCAAGATGTTAAATGGAACCATGATAACTCTTAAAGAGAGACAAAATAATGAAAAAGATTTCTTAAAAGATTTAGATCTAATATGGCATAGAAAATTAAAAAGTCCAGAAGAAAAAGCAGAATTTTTGGCTGAACACCCAAGATATATGGAACTTATTGCTAGTAAATAATAAATTAATGTTTTTCAATTTCAGATATTTTAAATTTAATTTTTGATTTAGAATATGGCTCTGATTACTCAGAAGACCTTAATACATCAAATAAAATAAAGACAATAAAATTAAGAATTGTGAACTTTTGCAAAGAGTCAAGTACAGAAAAAGATGTAATAGTTAAAACACTACCAGTTTCTATGACTCTTCATCGTTTAAAAGAACTAGGAAAGCGTTTATTTGGATTGGGCAACAAACAACTTGAATTATCATATTATACAAAAGATGTAAATTAACTTTTCTGTATTTTAATTACTATAGTAGTACCTGTGCATATATTCTAATATTTTATTCATTTCAGTAGTATTTCTAACCTATTTATTGATTTACTTCCTAATAATCAGAATAACATCTTATAGACCAGGGGTGAACAACTGGCAGCCCGCAAGCCTTTCTTATTTGGCCCGTACTATATTTTCAAGTTACATCATACAATTTTAAAATTTATGGTCTATACTCTATCTTATTGATATAATAATTGTTATCTTGTATTAAACATTGTTAAATGTCATATGTATGTACACATAACATAGCTGTTTGTACCGAACTATTTAACTATAACAGTTTCTTTGTATCATTTGCATCGTGCTATAGTGTGTGTTGAATTTATTATTTCGGTCTATATAAATGCTAATTAAAATTCATATTTTGAATAATCTTTTATTTTCCTATGCTTTGATCTGCTAGATTTTAATTTTCTAAAAATTGGTCCTCTAGTAACTTTGAGTTTCTCATCCTTATTATAAACCAACAATTTCTAACAATGTTTTGTTCACGCATCTCCATAACAAAAAAAATTTAATTGCTTCTCTCATAAATAAATAAAACGACATTTTTTTATTATTTTAATAAAAGCAAATTACTGTCAATTTAAAAATAAATATAAATAATAGTATAATATACAATACAAATATTTGAAGGCAAAACCCAATTTATTATTCATAATAAAATTTTTCAAATTAACATTACATCATAACTATCAGTTAAATATGTGAATAATGTTAATGACATTTAGAGTCCTGAGGTATGACATGTTGCACTGCTCATACAAACTTATTAATTTTTCTTATTATTCTTGAGACTATTTATTACTATTGATATAGTATTTTATCAAATTATTAGTATATTATTTTGAACTACTGATAAAAAAATTGTATTGTTATTATGATTAATTTTCAAGTTTTCAAAAAATGCATTTTTTTTTTTTTTAACATATATGAGAAACAAATATTATAAATACTAAAAAAATTGAACATACATTTAATTTTTGCTACAATACCAATCCCCAAATTATTCACCCTAGTATCCTTGAAACACTGATTCCATTCAAGGGAGTACCGTTCAGGAAACACTGAACAACAGGACAGCTTATTATGTAGTAGTGTAGAAAGAAATTTTAAAATATTTTTTTTGGTGTAACTGCATGATATCTAACGATTTTACTCATATAGAATTTAATTTTATACTATTAAAATTATTTTCAGAATCCAGATGTTGAATATTCCATGGATAACTTAAACCAAACATTTGATTACTATTCTGTTGAAGATGGAAACACAATTTTAATTAAGTGGTAAATAATAAACCTAGTGTACAACCCTAATTTTTAATAAATTATTTATTACCAATTTTTTTTTCACTCACTGCAATTTTATACATATTTTTTTTTATTTATAAAATAAAATATTTGATACATAAAAATGTGTTTATTAAAAACTATTTTACAAATTAAGTACTTAGGTTATTAATAGGTGTCACTGTGTTATGCAGTCGAGATACAGCAGCTTGTACCATTCTTTGTAATACCTCATCTTCACATGTTACTTCCTATAAGAAAAATATATTTATATTCTAATGCCAAATTAAATAATAAAATAAAACATACCAAATTTTTTAAATTTATATTAGCTTTTTTCCCATCAACAGCTACAAATAATTTTTCACCCCTAAATATTTTAGGCACGGACTCTTCTCCAAACATTTCTTGTAAAATTTCTATTAAACACTCCTGTAAATAATTTATTATATTATTATAAAATGTAAATGACTGAATGAAAAAACATTAATTGGATTTTTAAATTTTACTTTAAAGTGCATATGATCATATTTAGTAAATGGCACTGATGACACATTTTTCATATCCCCGTGATCCATTGCTTGAATTTTCATCAACACTTGAACAACAATATCTGCATACATATCATTTTCTGGTGTAGTAGTCCATTCTAAAGTAGCAAAATTTTTATCCACAGAGATATCCACTGAATTTAATACTCTTAACTTTTTGTTTGGAATAATCATTTCAGGTACACTACCAGTCAAATGGGACAACATATTTTGTAGTAAAACAAATGATCCTGTGAATCTATGGAGTTGTTTTTGTTGAATTTCACTTAATAACATGTCAGAATATCCTTGATAATAAAAAAAGTTAACATTTATGATTAATAAATAATAAATAAAATAATTATTTTACTTGGAATGTCTTCAGCTGCAAAAATATGATAGCTGAAATTTTTTTTTAATAAAACTCCACTTAAAACATTATCTTCTAATGGTTTCTCCACAGCTATTTCTCCCATTACCTTTATATATTAAACATTAAACGGATTAATTGAATTATTAATATATATTTTTAAAAAAATAAATATATTTATATATGTATATACTTTAGCTGTTTTTTCACCAGTAAAATAAAAATCTACTCCGACTGTATTCCGAGGGTTATATACTTTAATATCTTCAGAATTTTCTTCGTATTCTCTAACTAATGCAGACTTCAATCTTAACATTTCATTTTGTTCTCCGTGAACCAAAACCTAAAGAATGAAAGAAAAAAAAGGTACTACTATTTTTTTTATCCTATATCCTGATTAATGCTACTTACAATATGAGGAGGTTTTAATATATTGATAAATTCTCGAGTTTGTTGATAATCTGTATGTGCTGAAAACGAAATATAATCCACAGACATTTTCAGAGGTAATTTTTGTCCAGTCATTGTTGTGATATCTTCAGGTTCAGATAAAATAGCCTTTGCTAGTGTCCCTTGTACCACATAACCTAAAATTTTAACAGTATTAAATATTAAATTATAAAATAATTAAAAATTAGTAAATGGTTAATACTCTTAAACTAATATATTTATAAATAAATTGTTTATACATATAAATAAATAAATAAATGCTTAGTCTGGAGTATTATTATATTTGTAAAATATGACTGGTTTCAAATTAAAAATTCATCGTCAGGTATATACAAAATAAACATGATTCATATTTATTCTTATTTTTTATATTAAGTAGTAATTTTATTGACTTAGAATATACTTGACGATGAATTTTTAATTTAAAATTGATCATATTTTACAAATACAACAATAATCCAGGCTAAGCATTTATTTATTTCTAAATATAAACTATTTGTTTATTTATTCATACAATAATTAAATATTAGATAACGTTTTTTGTTTTAAATTTACCAGGAATAATAACTCCATTTTTACTATCTGTACACCACATTTCAAAAAGTTCTCTAGACAGTCCACTCTCCATAACACCTGGTGATGCCATTACAACACAAGGACCAATATCTTCAAAATGATCAATACTCTACATTTATGATTAATATTAAATGTTAGTAAATAATTTCCATCACTTAATTTTAAATAAACAGTTGTAAATATATAACTTAGAAAATAAAAATAGAATATTACTGAAATTAATTCATTAAAAAAAAAAAATAGTTAATGAATTGCAACAATTTACACTTTTTTTTTTACGTTAAATTAATTGAACTATAATATTTTGGCTAAAAAAAAGTTGTACCTACTGTTCAATTTTAAAGATTAATACTAAAATGTTTTCTTTAAATATGTTTAAAATGTATAACTATATTATTTATAGTATCATATATTAACATACTTTAAGGTTAGTTATATGTTTAAAAACAAAAGGATTATTAACAGCAATTTGTCGTTTGATTCGATCATTCATAGCATTAATATAAGTTTGATACACAGCCATACATTTTTTAGCCAATGATGATGCATAATAAATAGGAATATCATGAAGTTCTGGGTGAAGACCCCAATATTCATCTAAAATTATATTACATTAAAATATAATAAATATTTAAGATATAAGCTTACAGTAATAAAATTCTCTTACCTAAAATCAATAATAATTCTTGAGCTCGTCCTAATGCAAAAACTGGAATGAGACATCTTCCACCTCGATTAACTATATCATGAACAAGCATAGTAAATCGACGTTCACGTTCTTCACGTTTTTCATGAATATGGGTTCCATAAGTAGACTCCTATTAATACAGTAAATAATTTAGTAAAACAACTTAATGACATTTAATAGTTATTTACTGTAATAAGAATTTCAGGTCTTGTAGGCGGTATTTCAGCTGCCATTAAATGTCTATCTTCTTGTCTAGAGAAGTCTCCAGTATATAAAACTTTAACTCCAGCAATTTCAATCATGAACATTGCAGCACCTAATACGTGACCCGCATTATATGCACAAAAGCGAATTCCTCCTACATCTTTTTCTTCGTGAAAATTAATAGTTTCTATGCGATCCATGCTCTTTTCTAAGTCAGCTTCAGTATAAAGCATTTGTTCAGTCCCAATGTTACTAAATTTATCACAATAAATAAAAATAAGCTAATGCATAAATATGACTAATAAAATTAATTTTAATGTATGTAGTATAATCTGTACCTATATTGATACAATATTTCAATACAACACTAAATTTGAAGTAAGAATAAAAATATATATCAGTTTTGATTTTCAAAAATAGAATTTAACTATTTTTACTATATTATACCAAATAATTAATATTAAATAATATTATTATTTGTAGATATAAATCAAAGGTTATTTTTGCTTTTAAAATATATTAGAAAAGTTATTTAAAAACCTAATAAATTCTACTAAATAAAAAAAAATTATTAAGCTATATTAAAATAATTATTACCAAAAAAAAAAAAAATAATATATTACTTGAAAGCCAATAATATTATTTATAATTATATAATTAATTACCTGACTTTAATGTAATCTGACAATAACCATCTGTATATAGCTTTAGTTGCATGAGTCATGTAACATTTTCCTTTAAATTTAGTCTTGAGTAAAAACCAAGGCAATGCTCCACTATGATCCAAATGAAAACTAGGATAATATAATAATATTTATTGAAGATTTTCATACTTTCTATTAATCTCACTATATTTTTATTTACTGAGTAATTAGAAGTAAATCTATTTCATTAGCTTCAATAAGGTCAACAAATGGCAAAGCATCTAAACCTTGAAGACCTGGATGAATTCCACAATCAAGCTAAAAAATAATAAAATTAGATATAAATATAAAAATGTATAAAGAAAACTTACCATGATTTTTTTGCCTTTGAACTCCATTACTATACATGATCTACCAACCTCTTGGCCAGCACCACTAAAAATAAAATGAAAGTCCGTAAAATTTAATCTATTAGCTTAATAAAAAATGAAATACCAATATTAAATGCATATAATTATTTATTGTTAGATGAATACTTGAACGTTTAATATAACACATATATTTTGATAAGTCTAATTGAAATATTTTCTTATTTAAAAAAAACTACATTTGAGTTTATATTCTTAACATATTATCTTTGCAGTTAAAATTGTCTAGTTCATTATTCTGAATTTCATCTAAAGATGAAAAATAATTTATATAAACTAAATTTAAACCATTTTAAATAAAATAATTTAACTAACAATCAATATTAAAAATATATTTCTGACATACAAAAATATTAAGCAATCATAAAACTATTAAATACATTACATTAAACTAATCATATTAGTAATAAAAATTGGAATATCATTTCATAAAATATTTAGTAAAAATAGCAAACACATTAAATAAAAACTGTTGTAAATACAAAATCAAAAAAAAAAAAAAAAATTGAGAATAGTAATCTAAATAATTGGAAAAACAATATCTTAAATAAAAATTAAAAATGAATACATTTTTTTAATCAACAGTTCATAATAATAAATTATTAGCATACAGTTAGATACAATTATATAAAACTATTAAATATCTAAACTATCCAATTTAAAATCTACATCATCTTCTTCATCACTGCAAGGATTAGAATTTGAAACATCTGTTTTATTACGGTTATCTGAAAAAATTATTTTAGCAAGTTCATCACGGTCAAGTTTAGTAGCCCATTCTTCATATGTATCTTTAACTGTGTCACTTTCCATAACAAACTCATCATTTTCATTCTCATTATGGTTATCTTTATCAATTCCTCCTTCTAATTGTCTTGTTATTTGTTGTCTAGTATAATCTAAATTGTCTTCTTCCATGTAATCACTATATAACTTAATATGTTCATTACCACATAAAGGTAAATCTCCAGTTAAATATTTCTGCCATGCTCTTTCTAAATACTCATACATAACATTTCGTATATCATCTATAAACTCCTTCTTAAGCCAACCTGCGTGTTTACTACATGTAGCAGATAGAGATGCATTTTTAACCATGTCTTGAACTTCAGGTAAATGAATATCACATAATTGATAGTTGGTAACAATTGATAAAGGAAAAGAATTAGGAGAAAAATAAAACTGTTTTTCAGTCATACTGGGATTATAATCTTCTATTTTGAATTTGACATTTTTGGGATTTGATGGATTGTGATCATCTAACCAATGATTACGAATTTCAACCACTTGATAAATATAGTTAGATGGATCAGTGTGGTAATTATAACCATGCCTGTAAATAAAAATGAAAATATATGGTATTTAATTCTCAAACTTAAAAATTAAAATTAAATTAAAAAAACAAAGTTATTTACCTAACCCACATACGTCGAAATGGTCCAGTAGTAGTAAAATATCCAGTGGTTGGTAATAAGTATTTCATCTTTTCTTTATTGATAACTTTAGCAAAATGAAATAATGCTGGCTTAACCCAGATAGGCCTCTTTTCAAAAAGTCTGTCCATCAATCTTTTTTCGTCAGGTGAAAACATCTTGACAGTTAAACAATACTTTAATAAATCTAGTGGCATAGGCGGCAAGTCATCATCTTCAAAACGATTATTTTTAGTAAAATTACGTACATAAGGTCTTAATCGATGTTTTTTAGATAATGTATCTAATTTTTTAAGATTTAGAAGATCATAAAAATCTGACTGCGGTTCATTGAATTTACTAAGCTTGCTAGGTAGCAATGCCAAAGGTACATCTTTTTCCAAAGCCCATTCTATATCTAATAATTTCTTTGAACGCCATAGTTCAGAACAATTTGGCTGGGATGGAAAGTATGCAAAATCTACAATGCTCGTAAATGAAAATGTTTTTTGAACGAATCCAATAATTTTAGCAGGTAATACTTCTATAAAAACTTTTTCACCAGTTTTTTTATTAACTTTATATTTCTTTTTGACAGAAATCAATAACGAACGTTCATAGTTTTTATTTCCTGCAAGCGGTGGTCCAAATTCTGATTTAACTAAATTAACATTTAATGAAGCATCTGGAATCTCAAATGCATGAGCAATTTCATCAATACCACCCAGATTATCAATAGCTCGTTCACCATTATTTACAATACCAGGATATATTACACAGTTTAAAGGTTTTAGTGTAAAAGGATTAACAGTTGCAGTTTCTTCAGTTTCCATAATTCAAAATAATGAACTTAAAATAAATAATAGATAATTATTTTAATATCTTACAGAGGTTTTATAGTAAGTTTGTCATTTTCTTCTTCGGATATCTGAATCTCCGCTGCTTTCTTGTCTTGATTAGACAACATATTTCCTAAACTAAACCAAATAAAAACGCATTAAAATAAATAATTATATAATTATAACATTTATGATTTAACTGTATTGTAAAAAATCTTTATTGCATCGTATAATTGAGAGGTAAACGTCTTATATTATTGTTGTACCTATATAATTCAATATTTTGAATTAAATCTAATTCTAAAATGTTTGAGGTTATATTTATTTTATTCCTACCGGTAAGACGGTAACCACTATCGTAACCCGTTATACACGAGTGGATCAAAACCACCCTGATCCATGCACATTATTATCAATTCAATTTCGGTTGATGCTCTTATCATTTTGCTATATTATCTATATTACTGTATTATGTACAAAAAATAATTAAAAATAGCAAAAACTGTTGCCATAAATGTAACAAAAATAAATATTTGCTAACCCTTTCATAAAAATAGAATTATACTATTTATTTGATCATTTGATTTATTATTTAATATCAAAATTTGATTTACTTATGAACTCAGGTAAATGCATTAAATATATTTCGAAAAAGTATTATTTATCTGAGCATTTGAATAATTAGTACATATTTTTCAGAACATTGACTTTCAAGCCCAAATAGTAATTGAAATGTGTTTTTACATTGTACACTTTTTTCGTGAACCCCTCATACAAACTAATATTTAGTAGTAGATATCAATATTTTCATGAAGAAATAAACATAAAACGAGTAAATTTCAAAGTACCTATCTAAATCTTGTTATTTTTGTCATTAGAATCAATTAGATACAAAATGTTAGTGTAACTTGTATCCACTTACAACAAATCAAGGAACTGGTTCATCACTAGTGCCACCACCATTGTATAATACAGATATATATTATATACAAAATTTTATAACAATATATTATAACGTCTATAATATTATTTATTATTCATATAATCTGTGATTATATCACACAACAATAACAATTATTTTTTGTACAAATAGAGATGTGTCGTTCATGAACAAACTAGTTCAATTGAACTATTCGCCCAAGTGACCGGTTTCGTACTAGTTCACTTTTGTTGAACGACTCGTTCACCATTCACCGTTCACTTTGTACGAGCTAGTACCTTAATTGTTTATGAACGATTCATCGATACGGAGTAATAATTATTGAACTAGTTCGTTCATGAACAATTCTTTGATACGGAGAACGTATTCATACGAACGAATCGTCAAATATATGAATGATGAACTATTTCAATTTAGTGAACGATGAACGACTGAACTATTTTTTTTTCCCCCGTCTGTCAGGGATCAATAAATATTTATCAGTGCAATATATGAGTGTAATACATTAGTACATTTACGTAATACTTTAATACTAATTTTAGAAAATTCTATGTATTTACTGCAGTGAACATCTTATAATATATCAATCTTTATGTATTAAATTAAACTTATTTTAAAAGAAAAAATAATTATTTTTTGTTTTGAAAAATAAAAATCTTTGCGTTTTAAAATTAATTTCGTTATGTATTGATTTAAACAAATAAAACTTATTATGTTTGGTTTGAAAAAACCATAAAACTCACTTACTTCCAATAATAGTTATTCTAATAATATTCTGCACGTCATCGTTGTGAGCTCGATACCGCTGATAAAGTCCTATATTTTTTTTTTTAAATTTAAAACTCTAACATAATTTTTCACAAAATATTTCAGACGAACGCAACGATACATGATTTTACTGTGACATACCGAAACAGACTAAATATCTTTAACATTACACGATTTTAGTAAAAACTGACCTTTTTTTTTTCCATCACATTTTCTGTAAAGAATATTGTAGCATCTAATCCCTACACATGTACACAACACACATTACACATTACACGTTCGAGTTAAAATCGTATAAACACATTATTTCACTTTATAAATATTATTACATTAAAGCAGACAATCCTATTTTTGAATTATTTCGATTTATTTTGTTTTATCAATAGTATACTATATGAGTAGGTAAAAATAAAAGTTAAAAGAAAAACAGATGGTATTTTTTTTTATAAAATTATTTTTCATTTTTTAAAATAAAAATATAGGTCACGTAAAACCGTAACTAAATGACTTGCCATTCATCCTTTTATAGATGAATGACAAGTCTTTTACGGTTTTAGCGTTATATTCATTCATTTCGTCCAACGAAATGTTTACCGACTTTGGAAGATAAACTTCGATATTAGGACATTATTGAGCAGGGCCAACAAGACCTGCCCGTGATGAGTCTCCGTTTCCCAAATTCTTAAAAACATTTATCTCTTGTTCATTTCCAATTTCCCGACACTCTTCCTAATAACTTACGCCTCGGCAATTAACCGAGATTTCAGAGAAGAAGAAGAAGCCATACTGAGAAAAAAATGAAAAAAAAAAAATCGTTAGTTTTCAATTTTTATTTCATACATATCCATGTGTGTATGTGTGTGTATGTGTATAATTATAATTTGTACATGTTTTGTGTACACATGAAAAAAATATAAATATATTTGTATAAAATAAATAAGTACTCACGAAAATTAGTAAGTTATGCGTTGGTGGTGGTTGTTGTTTTTGTTGATGCTGGTGTTGCGTGGAGTAGTCGAAAAGATGTAGTAGCTTATGATGACTCTGGATTGCAACTAACCGATCCAGACGAGTGGAGTCCAGTCTTGGACTCCTGCTCTCGTCTCCCCCACCACTCGGTTGTAGGGTTTTTTAGAAAATAAAAATGATCTTATACTTTTTTCAGTAAAAATAACATGTGTGTAGATATTATAACGATGCGACGTACGGCGACCCGTGTTTTCACCACATGATGATAACGTTATACATTTTCCATCAATACCGACCTTAAAATTCGTTTAGAATTTTTCAAGATTACACTCACATGATATATATATTTTTAAAAATGAATACACACACCTGTGCTATATTTTCGTACTACTAGCTTTTATTTACAGAACAAGCAGTTATTACTATTGATAATAACAATAATTGTACAGACTAAAATATATAATATTATACGTTATCCTTTCATTGCTTATCTGTGTTATTTTATTATAACATATATATATATATATAAATATGATTACATGATGCATGTAATTGCGGTTATACTTATTATTTTTTTTTAATTTTAATATTCTGCTAGCAATGAATTTATACATACATATATACATATATATATATGTATAGGGCCCAGTGGCGTAGCTAGGATTTTTTGAAGGGGGGGTGTTAATTATAATTATTAAATATTATATATAATACGTACAAACTAAAACTTTTATTTTACTTAATTAATATGTATACATGTCTGTAATAGAGATGTAATGTATATTCGAATTCGGATAGCTTTACCATAAATCATTCGAATATTTTACTATACGAATATCAGTATTCGATGCTACAATACCTATTATTATTAAACGTTTTGTGTTGCACGAAAACGTAAACGAATAATTTTCGTCACGTATTGTCGCAATCGCGATAATGTTAACCTGTATATATGTAATTAGTATTGTGCATTATTTTATATTTCATATTGTATTATCGATTTACCTATATTCCAATAATAATGTAATATATGATACGGCTCAAGGGGGGGTGTCATATCTACCAAACATCCCCCTTGTATACGCCACTGGCCCATAATCTACAGATGTTACATAATCACGCCGGTCTCCACATGCGTATATATAGATTGACTAGAATGTAATCGCTGAAAATTTTTTCATGAAATAATCGTAGGTGATAGTCTTAAACAATCGAATATCGAATAAAAGAGAGTTGGATTATAATACTGATTTTTTTTTTTAGAACATATCTACTGATATCAATAAAATGTAGATACTGAAATATTTATTTTTAGGCTTTTTCTAAACAGTTTAAGTAGTTTAAAAATTAATTAATCAAATAATTTATAAATATATACAGAACAATTTTAAGGGTCAGATTATTTAAAACTAATTTTTGAATCCATGCATGTCGATTTGTAAAGGACTAGTGTGTCCAGTTGTCCAGAACTCCCTAAAATTATTCAAAAATGCTTTGGACGTGAAAAATATTATAAATATTATAGTATATTAAAATAAATTTGGACCTTCCCTCCCCCAGAAATTTATTTTCAGTTACGTCATTGTTAGTACCTATGAATCTATGATACCAATTCGCCCCCTCCTTAAATGAGCTACAGATCCGCTACTGCTGCCCCCCCCCATCCAAAATTGTTCACCGAGAAAAATTCTGAAAATGGTCGTACAAATTCATACAAATTACGTACTAATTATAAACATGAAAAAAATCACACATTTCTGGATGGAAGGGGCAGGGTAATGTACCTACGTTAACACGATGCGTAGTACTTGTCATTAGTACTTGTCACTCGCACTCGCTCATTGCTTGAGCGTTCACACGACTTTCGCATTCGCAGTCGCACTAGGTGTTAGGTATTAGTAGATAGTAACATAATATGATAATGATAATGATATTAAATATATTATATATATTAAATTGTAAAATTAATATTAAATAAGATTATAATTCCTAAAATAGGAATTAGAAGTAAATAATATATTATTAATTATTATAATATAAAAAATTAATCGTCAAGATCAATTAAGTCGTGAAGAAGAGGTGCGTTACCCCAGCACCCGCACTTTCGAAATCATGAATTGTAATCAAGCAGTATTATGTACTTTATTTTGTACAACCAAAATTAAATTTTGTACAACCCCCGAACCTCCCCGAAATTCAATTTCATTTTACGGGTGCTGCGGTAACGTTACACCAGCACCCGGATCAACTAATTTTCTCAAATTTCAACTTTAAACCGTTAACTTTAACGACGTTCCATTCACTCGCACTCCCGATTTTACAAATACCATTGATTATAAATACTAGTATTTATAATCAATGCTAATACTAAGCGCTATTTTTTTCTGTTTATACGCAATGTGCAAGTGCGAGTGACAAGTACTAATGACAAGTACTACGCATCGTGAAACCCGGCATTATTTTGTTGTACAATAATATTATGTAGACACATCAAAGTACGAATTCATAGAATTGGGGTCCAGTAATGACAATTATTTAGAGCACATGATTACATGAACAATGGACATAATTTATATATAAATATTGAATTTAAGGCGGTCGAATGATGATGGAGAACGATCAATTTCTGTGTAGGTACAGCGTAATGCGTATTGTAATATTGCTATTTTCTTATCGACAGTTATGTATTTCTGTATTTTAGTATTTATAAACCATATACCGCGCAGGTGCAATAATAACCAGTTTAGACCTATGGTGCGTTATCTCTGGTTCTAATATTCTTGTAAATGCTCTTTCGACGTTCATAATACCACAGAACAATAGTAATACGGGCATGAGACTTCCCCGTATGGGCCATACTATGAAATTTTAAATAATTCTCACCTCCCATGCATATTATGTAGGTAATGTATGTCTATATACATAATAAATTGTCATTGTTCATAATTAATAATGAATGCTATGTAAAACTATTTTAGAACCAATTTTTGCAAGTAAATATACAAATTAAATATCTTATTTAGTTATTTATTTTATATTGAATGATAAAATTGTGGATTAGTTATTACTAGGGCTCGGAAGTTGATGCATTTTGCATTTTTTTTTTCAAACTTTTTAGAAGATGCTATCCTGGCCACAAATGTGTTTCATTAGGATGTGAATCCAAATAACTAATTTTTATTTTGCATTTTTTGATGTTCATTACTTTTTAAGTCATTTATTAACATGTTTAGGTAATTTTTTCACATTTTTAGTCATTTTTACTAATTACAAACTTTCCTATGTCCTGCATCATTCTTGAATACACTCCGTGAATTAACCTTTGGTTGCTTAAAAGGTACTTCACTAGAACACTCGCAAACCATGCCATCTTTTCGTAGTTGTTCAGCAGGTATTTCACGTTTAGAAACCTGCTGCGTAGATTATCGTAAGCCAGTCATGGCAATTAGAAGTTTTTTATAATTATCTTCCTCCTATCGGCTTGCGAAATTAAGTCCGTGGAAGACTGCACAATTGCGACTTGATTGTCGATTTGAACACCAATGTCCGAAATGTTCCTCTTATCGGTTTGCGAAGAAAAGTTACGTCGACGAAATTTCGGTTCGACTACGTCCGTTTAAGTGGACGCGTTAAGGTACGTTTTCTCTGCATGCGTCTAGACGCAGTAATTTTTGTATTTTTGATCAAATTACATTCATCGAAATTCAATCATAGTGCTTACGACCGTGATCTAATACACACGTAGGTTTCATCACCTTCATCATGATGCAACGACAATTAATTTTGAATAATAACCTTATGATTTGCGAGATTCTCAAACAAGAGGCAGCATTTGAAGATGAATTACTTTTAAGGATTATTGATTTTTCTTTAAAATGAATATCTTTATGCTTAGGGTGAGCACTGTCAAAAATTTCCTTATTTTTTTGGACATATTCAATTAAAATTTCGTCCTCAGTTGAGGAAAAAAACAAATTTTTTCGACATTATCAAACTTTTGACGCAAGAGGTCCGTACGCGACACTAGTCCAGACTAATACTGCGTCCGGACGCACTGCGACATTTACCGACGCGCTGCGTTAAACGCAAGTAGGAAAACAGTCACAACTAAAATGCATGTACCTACCTAGTAACAATGCGTCTGACGCTGCGTTTGGACGCTGCGTCTGGACGCTGCAGGGAAAACGTACCTTTACGTCTCTCAATCTTCGCTTCCATCGGGGCGATGTTGGTGACATCATCCGCCGAGGCAGCAATGGTGGCATGCGTTTTTCCGACGGTGGTCGACGCAAAGATCACGTCTGGTGACCAGGTGGCTCGCTGCCGTCGACGTGGTCCGCAATTCTTCGTTTACGCACCAGTAATAGATAGAGTAACGGGGGCCTGGTCGGCCACCCCCGTACCCTAGTGGTCGCTCGATGACAACCAAAGTGGGCCCGCTACATTGGTTCCGGTTTTGACACCGGAACCACCCACTTCTGCCGACCTCTGGGGTTCCGAAGCTCCTGAGGTGGTAACAATACTCGACTGATAGTAACTCATATTGTGGTTTTTTTAAGTGATTTCCTTCACTACATTTTAACCCTACTGCCAGGGGGTTTTTGATCAAGGTTTTCCTTCCTCTAGGACGGCTGCTCCCCGAGGCTGAAGAGCCCGCCCTACCCTTTGTTGAAAACCGCTTTGTCAGCCCACAGTTCGTCGACTTGTCCAACATGGGAGACCCTGTTGGTAGTAAACTATCGTTGGTATAGCTCTCGGAACTGTTGAGGGACGCAAGCCCCTTGCGTCCTCGTGAGGAGGTAAGTTAAGTTGTCACGCTAAATGTGAAGCCTACCCAGCTCTACGAACGAGGCTGAGAAAGACAATATATTTTTTTTTCTATACCTCTATAAAGGGTAACCACAAGAGAGGCGTTTCATGAATTTATTACGGAATATATTTATAATCTATTTAGATAATTTATTAGAAAGAGATTTTATTACGTACAAACTTCACTGGCTTTGATTTATAAATGTTAAAATATTTTAACTCGTGCTAAATCCGATATCAAATCATTAAAGACTTGAATTAATTGAAGTTCTTAAATTAATTTTTGATTTATTAAATAATAACATAAATTAATATAAATAATAAAAATATAATATAAAATAAAATATTAATAAATAATAATATAAATCATTTAATATGAATTCTTATTGTATATAAAATGTTCAGATTGTATTTTTTCTAAATAAAATAAAAACTTATTAAAATTATATTATAGCTTTAACTATTTATGTATAATCACAGAATATATTCTGTGAAATATATTTTATGCTGTAATAATGTAACAAATAATCTATAATTTTTAAATAAAAATATAAGCCAATGCTTACTACTCGCAAAATCAAAATTAGCAGTTATCAGAGTATAATCATATATGACTATATATGTACCCGGGTATCCCCCGAAATGTAGTAAACGGGAATTCTAAAATGTAAGTCTAAAAGTGAGGGTTTCTTATTTTAACTGTTATTGTATAGGTTGAATGTTATATATACTAATATATCCGGAAAAAAATAAATTATATTTCATAATATCATATCAAAACTGGCATTTATAACTCAATTAGATTTTTTGCCGCCAACTCTATGTCCCTCAATTTCTCTCGATCTTGTATAATTTCCTTCCATTCTTTTACCCCTACAGTTTTAAGATCCTTTTCTATTAAGTCAAGCCATCTCTTCCTTGGTCTGCCTCGAGGTCTCTTCCCTTCTGTTTGCCATTCTATCACTGCCCTAATAGTTTCTTCTTCGCTTCTTCTCATTATGTGCCCAAACCACTGTAATCTTTGTCCTTTTATATAATTTTTCATAATAGAAATACTAAAACTAAATTTTATTGTAAAAACTTATTATGATAAAATATAAGCTAAAATTGACTACAAAAGTACAAATCATAATTAATTATAACAGTCTAAGAAAAATATACTATATTCAAGGAAAACATTTTCAAGGGACTAATTACCACATTATTGAATAAAAAAATGTATTTATATTTATTTAACTATTTTTCCATTATAATTTATTAAATATACCTACATGTTTTGTTAATATAAAGCCCCAAAGTATCGTAGGCACTCTCTTAAATACAGGTCTCCACACGCTTATGAATATATTTTACTAGAATGAAACAAGTTATAGAAAAAAAAATTGTATTTGGCAAATGTCAATAATTTATTTAAAAATAAGGTTTATTAAACTTAAAGTAAGTTTTTCAAAAATTACAAAAAAAATTGTTTATCTTCTTTTGACCCTAAAATACATCCTAAAATGTTATTAAAAATTATTATTTTATTAAATATTTCATAATATAGGCTTAAAAGCGTTGGAAAACAGTTAAAAAACCTTACCTGGTAGAAATATCTGTTTGACGGATGTCTGCATGACTATCTCCAATGACTGGCGAATCCGCTATTTCAAAATTCGACAAATCGACCACTAAAGCGTTATGGGGAAAATAGTTAACTGACAAATTAAAATCGCTTAAACTTGAAACTTTAAAGTATTAATGAAACTTATGATGGCTTCGAGAAATATTAGAAGGAATTTGTATGTTTTCACTCTCGACTCCGCTGTTGGAGTGACAAATATTTCGTATGAACTATTGTTAGTTGAAAAATGTAATTTAAAATGTCATGGAAACGCGTTATGGTTAATAGAATAAAAATTATAATAATTATCTAATAAATTATAAATTATGTAATTTTTTTCAATGTTTTCAACATACCAACCAAAAACTAAAAAATTTTTATTGTTATTTTAAATTCAAATGAGTAAATTTTTTGAAAAATAAATGTACCAGCAACTAAATCTTCTGATAAGAACCGTACGAGAGTTTACGATAATGTTGATACTCAATTGCAGAGGTGGTTCCAGGGGGGTTTCAGGGGGGTCATACCCTCCCACAAGGAAAAACATCTATAATAGATCCTTCGTGTTTATTTAAAAATTAAAATTAGCGTAAATTGCGTTTTTAGTTTTTTTTCAATTAGATTTTTTCTTGCAATAAAAATTGTATACAATATATTATATTTATTTACATTTAAACTACATCACCACTTGCTCATAAAATCATAATTTTCATCCATCTTCTAAGAATATTAATAGTGATTATAAACTTACTGGTAGACTATAATATTGTTGTCCAATAAATATAAATATAATAGGAAATCTGAGAACGTTTGAGTGGACACGTCACGGCTTTCCGTGACTAACCGCGGCTCGCGCCGAGAAATTTACAATCTGTTATTTAAAACAATAAGTAAATAATTTACAAGTTTATACATTTTTACAGAATATAAATAGTTTGTGGAGGAAATTGTTCACTAACACTAACACATCATAGGTAATATATATTTATGTTACCGGCAATATGGATAATCCAGGTATTTTGCAAAATGTTAATTTTTTTTAGGCAAAGTACAAAACATTTTATTATAGATATGTTATGTTACATTAAGATTCTTATAATTATTATACATTATTACTCATATTACAGACAAAATTTAATTTTTATGTATTATTACATTATAACTATTATATAAATATTTTACTTAAACTACTATTTACTTATTATAACATGTTGTAGAAAAGTGAAATTTTGAAGTGCACAAAATGTTATTTTTAAGGCAAATACACTTTTTATTTTGACATTTGAACTTACACATTTTAAAAATCCTTGGCCAATTCCTCTGGATTGAATTTTTATCAACTCATTTTACTGTTCATCATATAAAAAACTAGTATTAATGGCTAAATTTTTAAAAACATTTCGTAGTTTGTTGTAAAAATTTGACTATATATAAATCGTATGCATAGTTGCAACACCAAAACGAGACACGAAAATGACTAGAAAAATAACGATATTGTAATAAAATTATTAGTACGTTCAATATTGTACTTCTGAATAATTGTTATAGTAGTAAAATAATATTAATCTTTATTACGTTAAATCGTGTACGCACATTTATGATAGACGATAACTAAAGTTGTTGGTAGTAGGCAATGTCCAATTTTGTTTATTTTCATCATATTGTCTACTCCACATTTGGCATTATACATAATACCTAGGCAAAGATCGTATTATATATATTGCCGAGTGATTTTTGGCATTTTGCAAAATACCTGATTATCCATATTGCCAGTAACATTTATACCTATTTATAATTAATATATGGAACGTTGAGAATGATATAGGGACGATTCAGAGTTCCCCTGCACTTTTTGCCACTTTTAACCCAGTGTATGATTAATCTAAAAAATTAGTTGAGCATTTCAACAAACTTTTCGGCGAAATGTTAAAGGCAATGCTTAATAAGCTCTGTATATGGTAGGGTGACTGAGTCTAAGCTGTTTAATATTGTGAATAAAGATACGAGTAGTCCCATTTAACACAGTTCGAACAAGGAATTAAGATAATATTTTTGGATTTAATCTTACTACAATTAATATTTAAATTGAGGCAACTTTTTTTTTTACAATTGCTAGTGATTGAAAATGTAACGAGAGTGTTCCAAAATACCTAGATTATACATAATCTATATAATCTATATAGCTTTTTGACGTCGATAACATTGTATAGATAATGTTGCTGGTAAATAGTGATAACGAATTAACACATTTATTGTATAAAATGCACTACATACACATACACCACGATATGGTTCATGTTTATGAATACAATTTAAATAATAATAATGAAATTATATTTTTGATAATGATAAAAAAAACCATGTAATTTATTAATTTTGAGTAAATATTTATTTTAAACATTTTGCAGAAATGTGATAAATTAATGAGATAATTGAATTAGTTTTCATTGTATTTTTATTACTCTTTTTTTCTGTGTAATTATAGGAATATGGATAACCAGATAGAATTTTTATTGCCATAACGGTGGATAGCTGAAAAAAATGCACAATCTGTCCCAAAGACTGACACTTGGCTTATTGTTATTATTGTTGGCAGATATAATATGGATTGTATCATCAAAATTCACCAACGTATGTTGTCTTAGATTTTAATAACTATTACTATAGTTTTACTAAAAAATTGATTTAATGAATTAAGAGTATTTTAAACTAAGTGATACAAACTTAAATATTTTATTATTATATTATTATTATGCTAAACATTGAAACTAAATTGTATGAGTGTTGATGAAATTATTTTTTAATGTTTTTATTATGTTTTTAATTTTCAGTATGTTCCTTATAAAAATGACTACAAAAAGCCATTTTTTTTTGCCTATACCAAAGCTTCTATGTTTACTATTTACTTTCTGGTGTATATAATATTTAAAGAATTGAGAAAGCCTTGCGGAAATCAAACTAATTATATGGTAATTTTAGGTATTGATTAATTTATAATATTAATTATATTATATTATTTTAGTTTGTTAATTTTGATACTATTGATGAGGATGATGATGATGAAGATGATAATGTTTTCACTGATGAAACTGAAAGATTAGTAAGCATTTTAGTTCATTGTTAATAGATTTAAAAATATTTGTATATTTAACAAAATAAATGAATCAAAACTTTAATGTATTATAACTTACAAAAATATTAAAAAAATAGTATAATTGAAATTTTTAATAATAGTGCATTTTTTTAAAAAAGATATTTTTTGTTTTTACTGATAATAGTTATAATTATTAATTTTTAAAATACTCTTAGTTTACTAAATAGATATTATGCATTGTATACAAAATCTTAGGACCAACATATAAATAAAAATCAAATGATACTAAATATCTTCATATTGAGTTTCACTACCATCTACTAAATTTATATAAAAATAGTATTGATGCCAATGCTGGTATTTTAGTATTATTTTTTTAGTTGGCCCCCTAGACTTGAATAATCTCAAGATTTCATAAAATAAACTTGCACTAATAAATTGTACATTTGTATATCATTATTGTAGAATAAATATCATGTAAAAACGGGTCTGAGTGTATATTTCTTATGTTGTTTTTTGTATAACCTACTAAAAAAACATCTATATGTAAAGTCAATATAATATAAAATATGTATATAGTATATTGATAATCATAGGTGCAAATAGGTTGGTGCTTGTGGGGCTAAGCATCCTAATGTGAATTCAGTCCCCTGGATTTATTATCGTTTAATATTGTATACATTTATTATTTTATATGATTGTGATTTTTTTAATTTAATTAAGCTTTTATCTTGTTACATTACAGCTCTTAGTAATTATAACTAATGACTATAATTTAATGATTATTTTGGATCATTTAAAGGTATTAGAACAAAGTCTCAACTTATAATGTTTGGTTAAAAATGGTAATTCTGAAGCCCCTTTCTCATTGAAATTCCCTATTTGCACCTATGCTGATAATCTTATTTTCTGAAGTTATTACTCTAATGTATAATGTATTATATAGCCAAATAATTTATATCCTAGTATCAAAAAACAAAAAAAATTAAATACTTATTTTACTTACAATTTTTTTAATAACATTTCTTCATACTAATATTATCAGAAGAATAAGCTGTTACTATTTGTGAAAAGTTTAATTCAACCATGAAAAAACCTAGAAAAATTAAGTTCTTTAAATGTTCGACTCAATTTAATATTAAGTTTACAATATTTATGATTAATTGAATCAAACTTTGTAGATACAGTACTGATTTGATATTACAGAACTTATATTTTGAATTGTACTATCTAAACTCTAAAATATAATTGTAAGTAAGAACCCTAAAGATCTTTATGTATAGCCTTTTTTTTTTTATAAAAATATACTTAAATGCATACAATAAAATACAATCAATACAATTAAATTGAAAAAAATATATTTATAGCTTTGGAATTAGTAAAATTACCAAACTTGTAATTGATATCTTATGTTTTTGCACATTTAGTTTGATATTTAAATTGCTTCTATTAATTTGTCCAAATTTAATTTACATTGACCAGCTAACAAAACAAGGAGTCTAATTTGAAAAATTTCTTTAGATGTATACATATAGTAATATTATAAAGCGGAAAGTATGAATATTCCTAACATAGAAGTCATTGGTACATTGTACAAATCCAAATGAAAAAAGTTAAAAAGATAATAAAACTCAAAATTGTATTAATATAAACTAAGGAAAGATTAGATTTTCTATATTGTTTAGAATAGTGACTCATATACATCAAGATTTTGGATCTTTATCATATCAATATTTAACATCATTCCTTGTTTTTACTTTTTTTATTTATATCTAATGGAAAATTGACTGGGAAATAAAAAAAAAAATTTTAAGGTTCAGAAAAAAAACACCATCATTTTTTTGAAACTCACAAATATGATTTAACATATTTTAACTTTTTACCTTAAAGATAGTTTTATTTAATTAGTATTTACTATTTAAAAGTATTTCCCATTAATAGTCAAATGTTAAGTACTTAAAGCTGTGATAAATTCATATATATAATTAAAGATATCAATATATATATAATTCTTTTATGTAAAAAAAGTTTTCAAAATTAACTTTTTCAATAAACTGAAAAAAATGTTCATTATTATTAATCTACAATTATATATATTTAATTTTTATATAGAGCTCAGTCAGTTATGTTCCCATCAAAAATCCTAGTATGACCTCTGGTACAGAAAGTGATGATTCAGGAACTGCAAAGTCAAATAACAAAGTAGTTCGATTTAACAAAGTTGCTGAGGTAATACATATTTTATTTATGTTAAAAATAACTTTATTTATTAAAATACATTTTAAAAGGACCAAACTCCTAGGTCAAGGAAGACTCCATGGTTGGGATGAGTAAATGGGTAAACTACTGTAATAATCTTTTAAACTAAAAATATCACGAAAAAAAGTGAAAGAGTAAAAGAAATCGGGTGGAAATCAGTTTATATTTTTAAAGATGGTTGATATAGTTAGTGTATTTTTCCAAAATTTAAATATTTTTTGTGAAAATGTAAGGATCATTAAAACTTAAAAAATTCCTCTTAAATTTGGAAAAATCGATAATTTCAAGTGACTTTCTTTATTTACTACACAAGTTTGATTAAAAAATTTTTTGAAACTATGAAATGTCTTTAACTAATAAATAATTAATATCTTTTATTGGAAATTCATTGAAATATCCAATTTTCTTTAACATTTAATTTTGTAATGCTTATTAATGATTTTTGAAACTTTACTGAATTTTTTTTTTATACTAGTCTAAATAAATACATTTTATATCCAATTTTAAGCCTTGAGAATAAAAATTATAAATTTTTGCCTAAAAAAATAATTACGGATTTTCATGATATTTATTATTTTGTCAAAATGTAATATTCAAACGTTCTTAAATTTATTATTTTAATTAAGGTAATTTTTTTTTCCATTGGTCAGTAATAAATATGCAAGTGGAACTTTGTATTATATTTTCAGGACTTCTTGTCAAACCAAAATTATTGAATAGATTTTTTTTTAAAAACTAAGTAAACATGAAAATTAAAATTAACTATAAATATATCAAAATATCATTTAGAAATTATATTATTCAAAGCAATAAAAGCATTCAGGAAACATTTCAAGTCTCTGTAATTATAATTTTTGAGTTTGATGAAAACAAAAATTTAATTTTGTTGAAAAACCAATATGCCATAATTGTTTATGTTTTTTAACAAATTTTCATTAGTTTATTACAAATAATATGAAAACTCTTGAGAATTCGTCAAATGACCCCTCTTCAAATAATAACTATACAATATTTCCTGTCAGAAATCTTTATAAATATATATATATATATATATATGATTGTAATAATCAGAGAAAAATCATTCTAGTCAAAATTTTGTAAATAGATACTTAAAAAAACACAAATCATGTTAAAACCAATAAATTTTTTAATTCATTCGGAATCTAAAATATCAAAATTTTATTTTAAAGCATTAATTGCAAAAAAATTAAATAGCTTCTATAAAATAGTTTATAACATAATTCAATATTATTTCAGATGTATTTCATTGGGATTAAAAATCAATATGAAGTTATTATACGCTTTTATTGTTAGATTCTATATAAGAATAGCATCTAAACTATATTTATTTATTATTTTAGGTAAGACATTTGTCTGAAACAGAAGCTAAAGAAGCATTAATGGCTCGTTTATCATATTCAGCTACATTAAGGGCAAGAGAAATTTGTCGTTTATCAAGACAGCTACTTAATCTTCATCAAACAGCAAAACTAGCTTTTACAGTTGCACCACTTGTAAGTATTAGTAGAAATATGTAAATATTTACAAAGTTATGGTATAAACTTAATTCAGAAGTCAAGTCATTTAATCTTTGCTATTTAAGTGCTTAAATTAAAATACAATGAAACTAGAATAATACTATAATTAATAATAATAATAATAGCTTTGCTAATTAAAGTAATTTATGTGTTGTATTATGCCATTTATATATTTAATGGAATTTTATTTTATTTTACAAATAAAATATTTTAAAAATAAAAATTTAAAGTTACAATAAAACTAAATCAAATATTTTTTTTTACATTTTTCATATAAAAGGTATAATTATCTTTTACATTTTTAATTATTTATATTTTATACATCTGCATTTAAATTATAATTATGTAGATAGTACTCTTGCTGTTCTTTATTTTTATGTATAATTTATATTAAATTAAAATTATTCATATGTATTTATGGTATTAGAATTTAAGTTGACCAAAATTAACTTTGGAATGAGAAGCTCTCCTAATACCATAGACACTAGTTCCCAGGATTTTTAAAAAAAAGAACACAATTTAAAAATGTAAGATAGAGGCTATTATTATCATTATCGGATTTCTTAGTATCCGGCATAACTTTATAGCCATCAAAAAAACCAAAATGATTTTGTATTCTCATACAATTTGAAAACGTATTTAACTTAAATAATTTAATCATTATTTAGAAATTAGTATATACTATGCATGATGCTAGGGGCGTATACAAGGGGGGTGTGGGGATAGACCCCCATAGGTCTTTTTAAAATTGTATAAAATAGTGTTCTTAATGTAAGGAAATTATAAGGAAACAAAAAAATATTGCAAGGATTTATTGTTAACAGTGATAGATTAACAAATTCGCCGCATGGGGGCAGATTTTAATTTCTCCCTTTAACCCACTCCACAAACCAATATATATATATATATGTATAGTACATGTAATATGTATATGTATGTATGTATACATACAACAAGTAATAACATAGTTAAGATTGTTTAATTAATTTATATTTATTAATATCACAGGCAGGTTTAAGGGGATGGCTAAGGGGGCACTAGTTCCCCCCTTGGGACTAAGCTATCTATTTTACAAAGCAAAGTATTATTATATATTAATAATTATAATAAAATATCGTCATTGGCCATTGATGAATATGGTACCTATTTTATATATTTTTTTTATAAATAAATAGCTCAATTTCGTTGTTAATTATATGTATTTACCTATATTTTGAAATGGTTTCAGATTAAAATTGATACCTACAATGTAACTATTTAAACTTTGTCATTATTTTGAAAAAAATGACTTACTTATGAGGGACTCAAAAACATATTCTGTAATTTAAAATTTTATATAGATTTAACAAACCAATTAACTCAATTCTTAAACCCCCATTAGCCCCTCCCTTGGTTAGTGATAAAACCCGCTCCTGGTAAACATATTGTAACACAAGTAGTTTTTAAATTTATAAACCTTATTAAGTACTAAATATAAACATTTTAATACAAATATATTCAATATAAAACATTTACAACTATTTTTTAGCTTTCTATGCAGTAAACTCTTTAATAATATCATTCCAACCTATACTTTTTAGGAAAATATTTGCAATAGATATTAGAAATAACTATGACATATTTTCATTAGATAATTATATTTTCTGGTAATTCTTGACCCTTTTTAAAACTGAGAAGAATCTTTTTCCACTAGCATTTAAACATGGAATAAATATAAAAAGTTTTAAAGCTATTTCCACAATAGGAAATGATTCGATTAACTTTGATACTGTTAATACTTCAAGAAAACTGTGCATAGATAATTTTTCATCTTCTGAAAAATACTTCATTATTATTTTATATTCTATAATCTCATTCTCAAGTTCCGGTTATAAACACTATGAATATTTGCTTTGATTTTTCTCATAAAATATCATCGTCAATTTCTTCCACATTAAAAAAAACTCAAACAATTAATTTGTATGCGCTATCCACTCATATTGATTGAAAATAAAATATTAGGCACGTTTGTTTTCCAGTCAATCGTGATTCGTGAATCGAACTCGACAACAACGATAACTATGGCCATGAGACGAGAGAGAGAGAGAGAGATAACAAAAACAATTGGTTGGTAGTGTGTAAATAAATTATTTGAAACTATTAATATCAAATTTAATAATCTGATGGTTATAAAATATAATACACACATAGAGATATATAATAAATACAATAAACACAATTTTATGCCAGTGTAACGAAAATAAAAATGCATAGGTCCGAGCGCTAAATAATATTAATATGGTTTTACCCTTAGTATGCTAAGTGCCAGAAAAAAAACAGACGAAATAACTCAGCGGTTTAATATAATATAAAATAACTATTACAATTATAATAATTATAATATATATATTATATTATAATATTATATAATTGTTATTAATATTTTTCAATAATAAATTAATAATTTTTCCTAAAAACTAGTATATACATTAGAAAATTTCAAAACTTTTGTTGACGTCATCAAAAAATTGTCGCCCTATAATTTTTCTGCTCGGGGCAGCTGTTTCCCCCCTCCCCCGTTAATCCGGAACTGATTGTATATTATTATTTTGACACATTCATTATATATATATATATTATTACAGTAAAACCTCGATAAGACGAAATCGCTTGGGACCATGATATTTTTCCGTCTTAATGGGGTTAGTTAATTGTATGTAATTTGAAACGGGACCAAAAAAAATGTTCCGTTATACCGAGGTTTCTGCTTTACCGAAATTCCGTCTTATCGAGGTTTTACTGTATTTATTATTTAAATATGCAGATACTTAGGTTTAGAAATTTTCCTTTCATAATGATTTGTTTGCAACTGATCCCCCCCTCATACAAAAGTTATGTATACGCATAATACACTGCATGATGCACCCTCTTTACGAAATTCCTGGGGTTGCCTATGACCACAGGAAGTGGTTAAAGTATATATTGAAATAAATTCTTTAGAATAAGGGTTGTGAATGTGGTGTGAAAGAGGAAGGGAATCAATATTTTATTAGTTCTACAAAAAAAAAAAAAAAAATGTAAAATAAATTAAAAAAGTTGATGTTAGTGATACATACACATCTAGAGTATCAGACAAGGCTCATAGGTCGGAAAAAATTATTTTTTAGGCTGTTTCATTAACAAAATCGTCAATCACTTTATTTATATTAAAATATTGAGTACTTTTGCATTCAATATTTAGAATACTTTTATTTCTAAGTCTCATTTCCAATGAAGTTTCTTAACCTGTTGTTGGTATCGCTATGCAACATTCCGCCATTGGTATTGGGTGAGCTCACATTGTTGTTTTTTCATTATTATTTATTATTTAATAAACATAGAATATTGAAACCATCACTATCTTATTTATATTTTAATCTTTTATAAAAAATGTTCTTACAATCTTTCTTAATTATAAATATTTTAAACAATAAAAATTAATTTATAGTTTTTTATACATAATAATATAATAATATAACAATTATTATTCATACAGGTAAATGTGAGACTATTAGGCTGCTTAGTGCATATTTTATTATTAGACAATGAATCAAAAAACCATTTAATTATGCTATCTTTGTCTATCCTTTAGTAATACGATGGTTCTAATAAAACTTTGACTTTTTGAACGAGATTGTGGAATAATTATAGATCTATTACTATTACCTCTATTTAATTCAGAAAAATCATCGTCAATGTTATATTCATTTTCAATATGTTTATTAGCATAGTTAACATAATCAGGATCGGGATCAATTTCATTGAAATCTTCTAAACAATTAATTTCTTCGTAAATTAGCTCCATTTAAGCACAAATCAAGCCCTATTAGGGTTTCTATACACTCTCGGGCAACTCATAAGTTGCAACACTGATTAACGACATTCAAAGCAAAACAAATAATATTGAGTCCACTCTCAACATGTATCAAAAGTGCTAGGTAACAAAGAACAATATCAAATTATTTTTATATTGGTAAAAAATAAATATCTAAATTGGTAACAATTTTGGAGTTATTACATTTTTTTCTTATTTTGTTCTTTTATAAATAATTGTAAATATACAATTAAATTATTAGTTATAAATTTATAATATTTTATTAATATTATTATATTATTAAATATTAATATTAATATTAATATTTGATTATTTTGTTTACAGTGGGGTGTTGCTAATTTATTACATCAAGTTTCTATGGTTTACATGGAACATACTCTTGTGTCTGTTGTTATGTCGACAACTAGCTTTTTCACTCTTCTGCTATCTCTATTTTTTGTTACACCTTCTACAGATCGCTTTACGGTTGCTAAACTAATAACTGTATTATTCAGCATAACTGGAAACGTGTGTACTAATTTTTAAATAATATTATAGTTTGATTAAAATGTATTGTATATTTTATTTATTAAATTATTTTAATTTTACATTCTATCATGAAATGTAGTAAATTATTTTAATTTTAATTTGTATCATGAAATGGAGTAAAATTATTAGTAAATTAAAAATATTAATCATTTATCATGTTCTTGATAAAAAATTATATTTTAAACAAACTAAATTATTTAAACTTTCTTTAAAATTAATAAAATATTTTATTCAATACTTTTATACTTACAGGTTATAATTACTTTACCAGATTCTCATTTTAGTTTTAGTGAAATAAACATTGGATTTGCCTTATCTTTATGTAGTGCTGTTTTTTATGCACTAAATATTGTTACTCTACGGTCTTGGGTGGATCATGAAGATAAATTAGATATTATATTATACTTTGGTAACATTTTCTAATTTTAATTTGTTATCAAAAAATTAATTATTTTTAATCAACCTTTTATTTAGTAATTTAATTATTTATAGGTCTTATTGGTCTATTTAATGTTCTGATGTTCTGGCCATTGTTTATTTTTCTTCATTATTTTGAACTTGAAACCTTTGAGTGGCCCAACAAACAACAAGCAATGTCATTAATAATTAATGGAGTTGTAAAAGCAACATTGCCTGAAGTCATATGGTTATGGTAAAAACATGTTATACTTATATATTAAGTTATATTTATTAACATTTTATTTTATTTTACGATAGGGGGTGTTTATTGACATCATCAATTATAGCAACAATGTCTATAGGATTAACTATTCCAATGTCAATAATTTTGCGTGGCATCTCCAGTCAAAACATATCTGATCACGAGCGATTTTCGTTACCATCATTTTATTTAGGTTTAGTTCCTACAACAGTCTCTTATTTTTTCCTTATTTGGTTAACACATCAGTATAATTATAATCAAAATGAATACAATTGCCTAAGTCATTGCCAGAGAAAAAAATTAATTAGGTGAATTAAAAAAAAATTTGTTTATACAATATATAATTATTTTTATTAATGTTGTTTTTTGTTTTTTCTATAAAATATATAAACAGGCTTAGAGATGGTGATGCTGAACAAGCAGAATCTCTTATACAAATTCATGAAACTGACAAAGAAGTGTGATATAATTTATTTAGAAAATCAAGTTACTCACTAGGACTACTCTTAGCATTTTTACCTCTTTTTGTGCAATGTATTTTTAGACAATATAAATATTATTTACTAAATTTTACATAATACATGTAACCAGAATTTAAAATTAACAAAATAAATTCAACACATTTTTACTATAACTGCTTGAAATTTAAATATTAAATTATGCTGTAGATAAGTATCATCTTATGATATTTATGCAATCAACAAATTATAAATTCGTATTTTAATATATTTTCTTTTAACTGGATTAAAAGTTTTATTGTAATCATAGTTTATAATAATTATAACACTTATTATGTTACTATATAATGAACATTTTTTGTTTAATCTGTGTTATTACTTATATTTAATTTATTTAAAACTTATTTATATTTATTTGATTAAATTTTAATATAATTTATTACCATATTTTTGATCTTAACCATTTTATTTTATTTATTTCCTTCCATTTATTTTTTCCTCTTATCTTCTATTGTATAGAAGGTTTTATATTTATATTTATATTTATAATATGAGTAATGAATAGTTATAAATATTCATAGATTAATGATTAGTGAGTTCTTGTTTGTTATTTTATCTGTTTTAATTTATTATTAAATTTAATCTTCTAATACAAAAATGACAACTGATTTAGTAACACTTTTAATTAAATGTATGTCAAATATTTTAATCCTGTAGAGATATTTTGGAGATTGAATAGATCATTAGGTACTTTAACTCAGTAATAATTAAAAATATAAATAACATAATTTAAGAAATAATTCTTTATTCTAACCTCTACGGGTATATTTAAAATAAGATTTTAATTAAAATTAATATAGGCAATGTAACATTATTAAAGGTATTCCTGTAGAATGCTTCGATAAAAAATTATATTGTACTAATAATAATAATAATAATAATAATATTCTTTTCAGAAGATACTGAAAAACTATACATTTTTCTTAAGTAATTTAAATTTTATTATATTTTTTTAACAATATTGATTCAGTGCATATTTTTTTCCTTTTCAAGTAAAACAAAATCAAAAATGTTTTTAAATAAAATAAGCTACAATATAATGTATATCAAACAACAATCATACTATTCAAAAATATTTGTCTGAATAAGTATAATATTTCACTCCTTCTTGAGGCCATTGTTTAGGCATATATGGCCTATATGTTTTACACCAGTAATCTCCTGTAAGCATCAATCCACCTAGTCCAAAAACAGTACCAAACAATGCCAATAATTTTTGCCAGGCAGGAAATCTAGCATTTTCATCAGCATTTGGGTTAGCTTTGTCCGAACCCCATTTGTCAGAATTTACATGCATTATTTCACCTGTGGGATAGAAAGAACATAATTATCAAGACATGACATTGAAATCACGTAATTATTATTTTCTTACCAAAGTTCCTGTTATGTTCGGCACAGTCCCATGGATAATATTCACTTTTGTGGTCCTGTCCAATGTCCGGCAACTTTGGATAGTCTCCATAACCCAAACCATCATCTGGGTATGGCTCATATTCTTCGGGTAACAGACCATATTTCTTAGCAGCAGCTAAACGCTCTTCTTCAGTTTTCGGATATGGACCAGGCTTCCAAGGCTCGTGGGAAACCACATTTCTACTAGACACCGTATAGATGGCCTTAGTCCTAACCATTCCGTTGATGAAACGGGGTAACGCCATACTAAAAAGAAACAGTAAACACCAATTCACCAAACTAGAAATTTTAAACAATTAAATGTTAGAAGTCAATCAATCGCAAGAAGCAAATAGATTTATGAATAATGTATACTTTATATCTATATTCCATAACATATGAGATGGGATGTTTGATAGAGAAGAAAATAATCATGTCGAGATAAAATATCATTTGATAACGTCAAAGGACGTAAATTAACCCCGGTCCAAGAATGGTGTAGTTTGGTTAATACCTGTGATTACTGTAGATAACCCAAGTTTTTTATAAATTTGACGATCATGAATATAGCAATGTTTATAGTAATAGAATTATTATTATAACGCGATAAATGATAACGAATTGTTGGACGTGATCATGTCAATAATTGTAAAATTAAGATAAAAACCAGTAGTTATAATTAAAATTGTTATGTTAATTCGGTGTAATTGAAAAATCAAAATGTCCGATACAGAAGATGTATACATGTGCGAAGATGATGAAGATTATGGTCTTGTAAGTATTTTTTTACATCATACCATGACTATGTGAAATATATTATCCTCTCAATTTTATACAAAATGTTTAATAAGTAATATTTTATAAATAATTGTCTCAGAAACTCAAACGATTCTCAATATTTCTGATAGTCGTTTCAATAAAAAATTATTTACTACTTAGCTTTTGATGTTAGCTTAAAGTAGTACTCTGCATTATGTATAAACATATTCTATAATGTATAGTAATACTTTTTAATCTGTGGTTATACATACTACATTGTCATCAGGACCAATTTAAAGTTATACTTGTGATGGTTTTTGGTTATTAGAATTGATAGCTTGTTACCAATTTATGCAAACTTAAAAGGAAGAAAGCATTAACTATTTTTTTTTTTTTTTTTTATTGTCCATGAGTTGACATTTAAAATATGTTTTGACAATTAAAGAACCACAAGCTTTATAGCCTTTTTTTTTCCAACTCTATATGTCAGATATTTTGTATAAAGTACATTTTTAATTAACTATTATTTAATTATTTTGTGGTAGGGTAATGCATTTTATTTCTCTTACTGCTTTATAATTGTTTAGTATTTACTTGATACCCTGTATACTTTAAGTACGTGTAAGAATTGTATTAATTGTTTATAATATGTTATGAATAGGAATATTCAGAAGACAGTAATTCTGAACCTGATGTGGATTTAGAAAACCAATATTACAATTCAAAATCACTAAAAGAAAAGGATCCTAATGCTTCTTTATTGTCATTTCAAAAAGTATTAGATCTTGAAGCTGGAGAAAAAGGAGAATGGGGCTTTAAAGCTTTAAAACAAATGATTAAAATCAATTTCCGTCTTGTAAGTTAAAAAAAAAATCTTAAAGGATTAATTTTCTTTAACCTTGTAATTGCAACTATCAGCTGTATTTGACTGATGATATTCAGTATTATTTTCTCTAAAATATTCCAGTTCCATTAGAATATTTCAATTAGAATCTATCTTTACGTCATATAGTTTTTGTTTTTATACAATTTGTTATGTTCTTATAAAATTATAATTATTCAGTACCCACTAACTAAAAGTTTTAAATCGCAATGAGTATTTTTATAAATAAATATGTTGTTTGTGATTTAAATCGTTATTCTTTTAATATTTAAATAATCATTTTCTTAATGTAAATTAATATAAATATAATTTAAATTTTCTTGTGTGTTTTATATATTTCTCTTATATAATCGATTTTGAAATATGTTTTAATAATCTGAAGCCCAAATAAAGTTTATTTTACTAAAATTAATCCAAAATTTAAATTCTTTATTTATAACTCTAAATATTGTCTTAAATGTTTTATGTTATTTAATTCAATTTTTTTGCTACCTTTTATTTAACTTTATTATGTATACTGAATTAACTAATTGTGTATTAATCATCTATGTACTCTATGTTCACCAGGTGTCTATATATAAATATAAAAAAAATCTGAAAACTGAAACTTCTCCCTTTATAGAGTATATATTTAAAGAAGATAATATTTAACATAACTGATATTAAGTTTATAAAAATTATTGATTTTATAATTGTTTATTTACTTTTTATTAAGTCAACTTTTTAAAATGTAATCAACTCTTTTATTTGCATATATTTTATTATATTTTCTCATTTTATTTAGAACAACTTTGATGAAATGATGAATCGTTATAAACAGTTGTTAACTTATATTAAAACTGCAGTTACTCGAAATCATAGTGAAAAGTCTATAAATTCTATTTTGGATTATATATCTACTTCAAAGAATGTAAGTTAAATTTACTTAATGGTTTTATCTGTAAAACTAATATTTGAAATGTTTATTTCAGATGGATTTGTTGCAAAATTTCTATGAAACAACATTAGATGCTTTGAAAGATGCCAAGAATGATAGACTTTGGTTTAAAACTAACACAAAGTTGGGTAAATTGTATTTTGATTTGGCCGATTACAATAAATTGACAAAAATTCTGAAACAATTGCATGCTTCTTGTCAAGTAAGATATAACTATTAATCTTATTTAAAATATGTTGATTTTAAATACAGTTGAGTCGCGATAACTCAAAGTTGAAAAGGGATAAAAATTCACTGCGAGATATCTAACTAATTTATTGTGGAAGAATTTTCTAGGGGAATAAAACACAATTTGAGCTGTCAAGTTTTTCGAGTTATTGCAACTCTATTGTTCTTAGTTACTATATTGTATCAGGGGTGGCTCCAAGGGTGCCCTAGGGGCCGTTGCCCCCTCCCAAGCCCGTACAGTATTTATAAAAAAAATATATATTTTTAACAAAAAATGCATATTATAATATGTACTATCATATGACAGGCACACGTATGTAGATAGGGCCAAAGAGGTATGACGGTTGAAAGGAATTTCTTCACACTTCGGAGACTAAAAACCTGGCTCCGTTCAATGATGACTGAAGATGGACTATCAGCATCATGTCTAATTAATGTATATCATAAAGTAGATATTCTAGATCAAATAGATCATATTATTGATATTCTTACCAATTTTAAAAATAGATCTGAATTTGTGTTGTAAAAATTAGTGTTTTATTTTTGTTATAAGATTTTGTAAAATTATAACTTCCCCCCCCCCTCCTAACCAAAGCTCTGGAGCCAATCCTGTATTGTATATGTAATTAAATTTTTTAAATATATTTAAAAAGTTAAATGTTACTGAATATTAATTGTAGGTTCTGTGTTCTTTAATTATAATAAGTTTTATTCTTTAGTGATACATATCATCATGGTTTGATTTATTAAATGATCATTAATTTATAAATAGATTTTAGTAAATGGTAAATACTAGTATTTATAATCAATGATGGTATTTTTCAGAAATATCATTAGTTTTAATCTGTATTATCATTAATGGATAATCAGTACCTTGTATTTCAAAAAAAATTAATTTATATTGCAATGTATACATCTAAAAATTAGGAAAAATAATGCATATTTTGATAAAATTATATCTTATTGTTACTTAATTTTTTGATGATTAGAGTCTAAATAGTAATTTTGTTGTAACTCTGGTTTTCAGATAAATAAAAATCTAAAATTTTACTAATCAAATATTATTAATAGTATTACACTACGAATAAGTCGTATCTCAAGAATAAATAAAAAATAAACATATGTCAATAAAATTATATTTTATAAATAAATTTTTTTGAGATATAAAGTATTGATCGTATATTGACATTATGAGAATCAGTTAAATATTTAGTATAATTATTTTGATTAATCATACAATTATGTTTCCAGACTGATAATGGGGAAGATGATCTTAAAAAGGGTACTCAATTGTTGGAAATTTATGCTCTGGAAATACAAATGTATACAGCACAAAAGAACAACAAAAAATTAAAAGAATTGTATGAACAATCACTTCATATTAAATCAGCTATCCCACATCCTCTAATTATGGGTGTTATCCGAGGTACATTGAATTTGAATTATTAACTGATATTCTTTATCCTCTTATACTATTCATTTTACAGAATGTGGTGGTAAGATGCACTTGGAAGAAGGTCATTTTTCTAAAGCTCATACTGATTTTTTTGAAGCTTTTAAAAATTATGATGAATCTGGAAGTCCTCGGCGTACAACCTGTTTAAAATACTTAGTTTTGGCAAATATGTAATAATTTCCAAATTTCTATTATAATAATTATCATTTATAATTGTTTTAATATTTAAGGTTGATGAAATCTGGTATTAATCCATTTGATTCTCAAGAGGCTAAACCATATAAAAATGATCCAGAAATATTGGCTATGACAAACTTAGTCCAAGCTTATCAGAATGATGATATTAATGAATTTGAAACTATTTTAAAAAATCATCGTAAAAACATTATGGATGATCCATTCATCAGAGAACATATTGAAGGTAACTTGGTTAATATTTTATCAATATAAACATTTTTGTATTTATTTTTTTTGGTTTTAATATACTTTAATTTGCAGCTTTATTAAGTAATATTCGAACTCAAGTATTAATAAAATTAATTAGACCATATACTCGGGTTCATATACCATTCATTGCCAAAGAGCTCAATATTGAAGAGAGTGATGTAGAAAGTCTTTTGGTTACATGCATCTTAGACGAGTCAGTATTATATTACTTAAATATCTATTGTTTTTTAGGTATAGATTTTATATTTAATATAATTTAAATGTATCATATTTTAGAACTATTAAAGGCCGCATTGATCAAACAAATCAAGTGTTGACTTTAACACTAGTTGATTCAGCAACAAACCGTTATTCAGCTATTGATAAATGGACTAATCAGTTAGCTACTCTCAATTTATCAATTTCACAAAAAATATTTTAAAAATATTAATGTGTACAATTCTTTATATATTATGTATTGTCAGACTTTTTACTTATAAAAAAAAATATATTAAAATTAACAGTTTAAAATTTGGGTATTATCATTTATTAGTTTATTACATATCTAGTTCTTTAATTTTGTCTAACATTGTAGTAAAGTACTTGGCTTTGGATAATAATATCTTTGCTCGACTTAAATTTTTTTCGCTGAAAGCTCTTGATAGTTCCCTAATCAACAAACATTTATTGTTATAATTAATGATGTTATATTTTTATCCTGATATGATAAATTATCAACTAACTTGTATAAATTCAATAAAACTACATCTACATCTTTTTTTATGTTTTCAAGGGATTCCTTTGAATCTGCCTCTTCAACTTTTTCATTCCACTCCATTATTTCACTTAAAAAACTGTTATCCATAGTTACTGAAGTTTCTTCAATACTTAGGCCATGTATATTCAATATATAAAGACCTCTAAGAAATGGATTCATCAAAGTTGTATAAGCTTTGTTCAATAATGAAGAAAATGATTCTGACAGTACTTTTTCTTCCTAGAACATATTATTGTTTACATTAAAACACAGCCAAATGTATTGGAATTATAAAAAGTCACTTCTGTTTTGTTTGAGAATCTATCGGGATGCATGAGATTTTGTAGTTGTCTGAAGTTAGAAGTCAACTGTTCAGTATCAATATCGTATTGATTGTCAATATTGAAAAGCTCAAAATAGTTGAAGTTCTGCTGTTCATTTGATTGAATCAAAGTGCATGTCTTACAAAACAAACTGGGTTTGGTATCAGAGACTGTTTGACAATTCCAACATTTGAACTCGGTAAAAGTTGTATTAGAATAATATTTTAACTTGGGGAATCGGGCGTTGGCTGCATGAATATACATCCCGGTTTCCGATGGTTGTCCAGTGATCGAATTAATGTAGTTACGTGACGGTCGTAACACTCTGTCTACAAAAATGGTCGAACGCCAATTACGTAACACAAACATTTTCAGACTGAACAATGAAATCAACACGCATCCGACTAACTTTTGATGTTTAATGGTAGATGGTAAGAAATCGTTTCACCGACGTTATCGCGATTATATAGTAAAACACTAAATACATTGATTTATAGTATTTGGTATAATTTAATCGTGCGATGGAAAACAAATAAAAAGGTAATGTTCAAAGATAAACCACAATTGTATATATTAATTTTTAATATGTACATCTGTGAAGTAAATCGACTAGTCCATTCATTACTTATCACTCTCTGATAACGTGATAACCGCCGTACTACATACCATAGACTATGATAGTATCACTAGTTAAAAGTAGTAATAGTATTATCTTAGTCCGTTCTGCATATTATGTATTTGCATAGTGGTGTATATAGGGAAGGGGGGTAATTAGTGGGAATAAATTGAATTTTTAGTGATTTAAGGCTAAAACTTTTCATTTTAAATCCAGATATTGATTCTCTCGTGGAAGACAATCCAAAATTACATTAAATTGTTTTACTCATAAGTAATCTGGTTCAATGAGGTTTTTTTTTTTTTAAACAATTGTTTTTTAATAAATACATTATAATAACTGCCATATTTGAACATTATACATGTATAAATATTGGTGGACCTAAAAGATTTTCTACGAAATTGGTGGTCCGCACTACTAAAAAGATGGGAATCGCTGTTCAAAAACATTCGGCCGCTACATGTGCAACGAATTCCGCAGGATTATATTTTATGTAAATACGTACCGAGAAAAAACGAAAACTAATAAAAAAAAATAAACAGTGCTTTAACTGTACAAGAACAATTATATATTTACTAATAGTACTAAATATTAATGTACGTATTATTTTGTAGTGTTTTATGTTTATCATTTTTATTTTCACTCGTGTGTACTCTCTAGATTAAAAAAAGTACTTGACTATTTTATATTCATAAATTAATAATAATAATAGCTGACTGAACTAAAAAAATGCCAACGGCACGCAGTGTTCCCAAGCGGTCACCCATCCAAGTACTAACTACGCCCGACGTTGCTTAACTTCAGTGATCGGACGAGAACTGGTGTATTCAACGTGGTATGGTCGTTGGCGAAAATGTGTTGAAAAATAATATTATTTATCTAAAGTTGTAAATTTTCTGTTAAATTATTTTTTATTTATAGTCGAATGTTTACGAAAATCTATTGTCCATGATTATAAAGTTGGTATATTTCTACTGTACGAGGCACCTTTTTTTTTTTTCTTCTTCTTCTTCTTCTTCTTAATCCATGTAGCGAAGTACGCTGAAAATGATGGTCAAGTCAGAATCTGGCGCTCGGACATGTTTTTAAATTATGGCACTTTAAAACTAGTAAATATTATATTTAATTAAGTTAGAAAGTAATAGATGAAATTCGGCGTAGGGAAAGTGGCACACCCATCGTCCAGTGCATTCATAAGTACACTGCAATAGCCCTACCATGACCTTGAGTGGTTGTGGTAGTCTGGTCCTCCAGGTTGGGGGTTATGCGCAGGGCCAACAACCCTGCCATGTGAAATCAACCTTGTTCAGGATACAACATTAAACTCGCCTCGGATATGTGGAGCTTTGGAGAACAAAACTGGAAAACGGAAACCTGGCTTATCTTTTGGAACTTGAAACATTCGCACACTTTTCAAACCGGGAGCAGCACAATGCTTAGTCAAAGAAATCAGGAGATATAATTTAGGAGTGGTAGCCTTGCAGGAGATTAGGTGGAATGACAAAGGTACCTTGGATCTTCAAGACACGACTATATTCTACGGGGAATGTAATGATCGAAGACAATTTGGAACGGGTTTTGCTGTACACAAAAGTATAGTCCCTTTGGTAACGGAATTTAAAAGTACTAACCCTAGGATATCAATATTGACGATTAAAGGGAAATTTTTTGATATCACTTTCCTGAATGGACACGCTCCTACGGAGGAAAAAACACCAGAGGAAAAGGATGAATTTTATGAGAATCTGGAACAAACCCTAAATGAAATCCCCCGAAATAGAATAAGGATAGTCTTAGGCGATTTTAATGCCAAATTGGGAAAGGAAAACATATTCAGATCAACCATTGGTAATCATAGCATGCATGACATAACTAGTGAAAACTGACTTAGACTTATTGACTTTGCGAGTGGTGGAGGACTTGTTGTGAAAAGCACAATGTTCCCACGCAAAGATATCTACAAGAGGACTTGGAAAGCGCCTAATGGTAGATACACTAATCAAATAGACCATGTTATGATTAACACAAGGTTTAAAAACTGTATACAGGAGGTGAAAACAGTCAGAGGAGCCGACTGTGATTCGGACCACTACCTGGTAAAAGGAAAACTAAATGTGAAACTAAAAAAAAAAATTGGGAGTTAGGAAAGGTACAATGGTGGACAGATATGAAGTAAGTAAATTTAAGGACAAAACTGTATGTGACCTTTTCAAACAACGGACGAATGAAGCAATGTCTAACCTACACATAAATCAATTAGATACGATTGACGGCAAATGGAAGGCAATAAAGGAAACCTTAAAAGTGGTTACAGATACAACCATAGGGAAACAAAATAAAAAAGTAAAGAAACCTTGGTTCAACACTTCTTGTGAAGAGGCACTTAACAGAAGGAAAGAAGCTAGACTACTATGGATCAATGACCCCACCAATAGAGAAAAAGAATCTACGTATAAAGAACGCCAAAAAGAGGCGAGTAATATTTTTAGATTCGAAAAACGTAAATACACGAAAGAGATACTGTGGGAAGCCGAGACCAACCATAGAGTTAACAAAACTCGTGAGCTGTATCAGAAGATTAATGCAATTAGGGGCGAGTACAAAAAAACATGAAAGATTCTTAAAAAATGAGGATGGCTCCATAATTACGGAACAAGACAAGATTATAGAAAAATGGAGAGAGTATTTTGACCAACTGCTTAACTGTGAGGACCCTCCTGAAACTTTCACATGGATATCATCTGACCCTAACGACAGTGAATGCCCTCCTCCTAGTAGGATAGAGGTAGTAAATCAATTAAATAGATTAAAAAACAATAAAACACTGGGAGAAGATGGAATTCAGGGAGAAATTCTAAAAAATTTGGATGAGGTAGCAATAAATAAAATACATGATATCATCAAAAATTTATGGTCTGAGGAGCAACTACCCAAAGACTGGGGTACAGCGTTGATCTGCCCGATTTTTAAAAAAGGAGACCCACAAAAATGCAGTAACTACAGAGGTATTGCTTTATTAGATACGGCATATAAAGTCTTATCATATTGTCTACTTGATAGAGTAGTACCCAAGGCCAAAAATATAATAGGTGACTACCAGGGTGGGTTTAGGATCAATAGATCCACAACTGACCAAATGTTCATTCTAAGACAAATCATCCAAAAACATTTGGAATTTGACAAGGAGATACACGTGTTATTTGTGGATTTCAGAAAAGCTTATGACTCTATACATAGAGAAAGCCTTTTAAACATTCTCAAAGATTTCAAATTCACCAGGAAAATTATTAATCTCATTGGAGCCAGTCTCAAACATACAGATATACAGGTCAAGATAGGTAACGTAACATCGCAGCCAACTAGAGTAACGACAGGACTTCGGCAAGGGGATGCTTTGTCTCCAGTGCTGTTTAATTTAGTACTGGAGAGGGTAATACGTGAGATGAACATTTCGGAAGAAGTTATATTAGGACAGAGCAGAATTGGAATACTAGCATATGCGGATGATATCGCTCTCCTTGGTGAAGATTTAGATATGATAAAGAAATTGGGAAGTAATCTAATAAATACGGCAAAAAAAGTGGGCCTAACCGTTAATGAGGAAAAAAAGAGTACCTTGTGGCTAGCCGAGGAAATAGAAATGGCGGTCTGGAACAATATATCGAAATTGAAGAACTCAAGTTCAAAAGAGTGTCTCAATTTAAGTATCTAGGGTCGATGATAACGGAGGATAACGACATCAAGACAGAGGTGTCAACAAGGATACAACTAGCGAATAGAGGATTTTATGGACTTGAAAAAGTCTTGAAATCGAAGGCCTTATCTAAAGCCCTAAAAATCAAAATGTACATGACTCTACTAAGACCAATTGTTCTTTACGGCTCAGAAACCTGGGCGCTGAGAAAAACAGAAGAATCAAGATTAATGATATTCGAGAGAAAAGTTCTACGGAAAATTTTTGGCCCCATATACGATAGACAAACGAGGGAATGGAGAAAACTTCATAACGTGGAACTCCAAGGACTTTTCCAGAGGCCGAATATAGTTAGAGAGATCACCAAGCGGAAACTAAGTTGGGCAGGACATGCTTGGCGCAAACAGGGTACTTTAGTAAAATGGGTGATTGAAGAAGAGCCTAATGGAAAAAGACCAATAGGTAGACCTAAGTTAAGATGGGAAGATGGTATGAAGAAAGAAGTGGAAAAGATAAAGCCTGGTGTCAAGTGGAGAGAAGTAGCGGAGGACAGGGATAGATGGCAAAATTTAGTGTTTTCAGGATGGTCTTAAGGGCCGTAACTAAAAGAAGAAGAAGTAATAGATGAAAAACGAAAACGATGTAGTACCTAGCCCAGTGGTAATGCAGCCACATCGTTACCGTAAATGTCACGAGTTCAAAACACCATATCTCGTTGAATACACTTTTTGGACTTTTTTTAACGTGCAGGTATCCAATAATATTATTTCATTAATTTGTAGTTGTGAGTGCAGTAGGATTATTATTATGTGGGTGGCACCAATATTTTCATAATCATTATAGTTATTGTGATCACCATAACATTGTTGATTTATGCGTCGATTCTAGTAGACCTCTTTAAACGTGTAATAAAATATTTATTTGTATTAGGTACCTTGTGGTCAAAACATGTGATTTACAAGGGCAGTGAGGTTTTAGTTTTATGAACGAATCATAATCCTATCCGCAACAGTATCAAGGTTTGTACAAAAACTAGGTTAAGCTTAGACTTTAATTCTCATTGAGGCGATGCCCCATCCCCTGGAAAAGTGCCACGTAGTGTCACTCGGGTTTTTTACCACACGTATCGTTCGGGAAAACGCGATGTTACTGAATATTACACTACTAATAATGAATTTAGGATTATTAATTTTTAATAAGTTATCATTAAAAATTGCAATAGTGTATCAGATTTTTAGAGCATAGGTATGTGACAATTAAACAGATAAATTACTAACTCAAAATCAATAGGTAATAACATTTGTTAAACTTAATAATAAATAGTTA